ATCTATAATTTAGACAAAAGCTTTATGTCTCTTTTTATTTCTCACTTCTCTTACATCACCTTACGCTAATATTTTAAAAATCAGATTGAATGTCAATCTAAAAAGCCCACAAGTCATAGGTTTTATTACAATTTAATTGATTAAATAGGTGGTGGAATTGATAATAAAATAATTGAATAAAAATATAAAAATTAATATAAATTAATAAGAAGCAAAAGATAAAAAATAAAAAACATTTTTGTAAGTGGCTTAGAATATAATATAAGACTTACTATATTAATTATATAATTTTATTTGTTTAGTTTTATTTATTTTTTAATGAAAAATAATCTTAAATTTAAAGGTAGCATAGATAAAGAAATTATATGCCGAGTTAAAGAAAAAAGGACAAAATCATGAGTGATAGGTTGATAGTTTAATAGACGGCTATTTTTAATCTTAATTCAAGGTGAGCATTGAGCATGAAATACAATGAGCTGAAAAATTGAAAACACCCTATGCAATAATATTGAGGTGTTTCGCAACTTATTTTAAAAATAATTTTTATTTTTTAAAATAAAAAAATATATTTGATAACGTGTGTTTAAAAAGTATTTTAAAAAATAAAAAAGTAAAATATTTTTTTAAAAAATAGAAAAACAGAAATATCTTTTAAATATTTTGAAATTATTGTTTTAAATAACAAGAGAGAATGAGAAAGACACTCATTTTAATTTTTTTTAAAACATATTTTACAAAATGTCAATTCTTAAAATAATAAAATAAAAATAGTTTTAAACAGGCCCATTATCTCTTTTCAATCGATATCTCTTTTGCGTGTCCGTATTCTTCCTTTCTCATTCTCTCTCCCCTTTTTTTGTCTTCTCACTTCTCAAAAGCTCTCCTCTTTCTTTATGACTTGGTTCTTGCCGTTGTTGACGTGGATAAAATGGAAGGAATATGGCATCTACTGCTTACTTAGATCTCTCCTTACTTCTCCCTTGTTCATCTTCTTGATAGTATGATCTCAACCTTTTTTCCTCAACTCTCTCTTTCCATACGTGCTTCTTGCAAAAGCCATAAAATTGGGTAAATAGGCTCAACCTAATGAGCCAACCTGTTGCCCACTCATTTTTGTAGTTTGAGTTAGTGAAATGAGCCTATTGTAGAAAACAGGTTGAGTTGGTCCAAACCATAAAATTATGCGAGCTAAATGGGCTAGCCTGCTAACCCGCATAAGCATCTAAAGTCTTGTAGTGAGAGAGAAAGAGGATTCTAGAGAGAGAAATTTGGAGGACATAGGGAGAAAGAGGTAATGGTCTATTTTAACAAATTATAGATTTATAAGTAATTTAAACTCTAAACTTTGTTTTTTTTTTTGTTTACATTTTAACTCTTAAACAATTATACTTATAACAATTTGACTCCTATTATTAATTTCAACTAAATAACAATACTTTAAGCATAGGCCTAACATGGACTCTCTCTATCTCTTCATCCTCCCTCCTCTCACACTCTAATAACCTGAATAAGCCAACATGAAAGCACCAATAATGTCACGGCCGTCACAAGCGAAAGCAAGGTTGGCCAAGGGAATTCGAACTACGTTTATCATTGTCATTTACATCTTCATCCTTTGCTTCAACTTCTGCTCATCCACTTCTCAAGTGTTGGAACAATGGTGTTACCTAAAATCTACTAATTAAGGCATAAACAGTGGTGGTGACCTTGAATCTTCGAAGTCCACTCTAACTCTCTAAGAACTCCCCACCTTTCACGCCTATGATTTTGTTTTTGTGAGACAACAAAAATGGTGAAAGGCGAAGATGAGCAACGAGAGTGGAATCATAGTAATGGTGTGGATAATTCAATGTCTTGTACATCCCATAACACGACAACTACGTCCCTAGCTGACAGTACAATATTGATTGTTATATAGCCCAACTAGCATATCACATTTTAAGAGGAAAGTAGTGACACAAGCCTTTGATCGGGCACCCCACAAAGTCAAAAATAACATCAATTATATGTAATTTAACAGTAAGATAATTTTTTTGAAATTTATCACTTGAAAAGAGTTTTTGCTCATTTTAAAATTTATGATTCAAAATGCTATTTGAGTAATAGTTAGAGTCTAAGATACTCACTAACCTAAATATTTATTATTTTATGTTAAGCAGATAAATTAATAAAGTTATTAAAAAGTGTAAATTTAAATTGTAGCAAAAATTTAGTACTAGTGTTTGATTGAAATTTCTTATATTGAAATATAATAACATTACTTTTGTGTTTCACCTGCCACTGTATATATTAACGAATTAAAGGTTACAATAATATAAAATACATTAAATTTTCAATAATTTTTTTTACATGAATAAAAAATAAAGACAGTAGGATTTATTATCTTTTGAGACTTGAAAAAGTATGGCACCCTATTAATATGAAATGTTTACAATATATAGATAGTTTTAATAATAATTAATGAATATCCTAATAATGACTAATGAATATAAAATATTTTCTAAATTTCAATAGAATAAATCTCAACAAATAATAAATCTTGATAGAAAATCTCAATAGATAACATATCCTAATATTTCACTTCAAATTCAAGATGCCCTTGAATTTGTAATAACTTGTATGAGAAATTTTTAAATGGATTGGATACACCACGTTATCCATAATATATTTAATAAAAATATGCAATGTCATATGATTATAAATATAAATTAATTCTGTCATTGTCATTGATAGAAAGAAAAAAGCTAAGAAATTAAAGAGGAACTCTATTTCCAATATAAAATCACTAAAAATTAAGTAATGGCATACAATTTTTTTTTTGGTCCGAATGACATACAATATTTAATTTAATTCATTTGATTGAACCAGTACAATATGATATGTTTTTATTAGACATTTTATGGATGACCGGTGATGTGGTGCAACCGGTATTGCTTGAATTGAAAATTAAATTTCAATAGTATATACTATAAAGTAATAAAGACATATGCGTGCATACTCATAACTCGTTTACCGAAAAATAATCACAAATCTTCCGTGTAAATGAAGCACAATTGATGAAGATTTTATTATTCCCTAGTTGAGATTAAATAGTTTTAATACTAATTTAATAAGCTGCATTATTGCCTCTATATATATTTTATGGTTTCTCCTTGTCCCCTCGTCCAGCCAACATGATCCATCAATCTTGTTATTAATAGGAAAAGCAGCAACTAAGGCTCACTTATGGAGATTAATATTAGTCAAAAACTAATTGACTTAAAAATTACAATGTAATCTCTTGATCCTTAACTAATATTAATTTATTATGTTAAAAGATAAAATTGTCCCTAAATTTTTTTTTTTAAAAAGCTAACCCTATTGCCAGCTGTTGAAACCTTTAACGATGGTGAGGTCACCGAAGCTCTTGCCATCGAAGGTCAGTCACCAGAGCTCCAGTACAGACGACATTTTTATTAAAGGAATAATTCATTTAAGCAGCCAATGGAGGGTTTAATTCCATGATCCTTGGCCATCTAAAAAACTTGAGCCACCAAGCCCTTTAATTATATATGAAAAAATATAGGTAGTAAACCAAGCTTTTAACAACACACCATTATATTATAATAGGGAAGTGTTTAGAAAATTGGTTTACTTCTTATATATTTTTTAGGTGGTCAAGGTTCATAGAATCAAAACTTCCCTTAACCATGTAAACCAATTATTCATTGAATAAAAATGTCATTGGAGCTCCAGTGATCGACTATCTACAACCCTGCCACAGCAGTGATCTGGCAATCGACAATGGTGGGGAAGGTTTTTTTAACTCTAGCGGCAATTTTATCTTTTGACATAATAAATTAATATCAGTGAATGACCAAGAGATTGCAGTGTAATTGGTCAGTCAATTAGTTATTGACTGATATTAATTTCCATCAATAGTCATTGGTTGCTATTTTTCTTTATTAATATCAATGAAACTTTAAAATCTACTCCTTTTGATTTGATTTGACTAAAATATATTAAATATATTATCTTAAGTACTATTCTTATTCTATTTATAAGGAAAAAGAGTATTTATTTTAATTTTATTTATAAGATATCATAATGACTATTATGTCCATATTTACTTTTTTGCTTCTATTGAATGTTGGAAATGTTATTAAATATTATAGTATTTTATTTTTGAATATGTCTATTTAATAGAGATAGAGTTAAAAATTTGTTAAATTTTTAAACAGAATTAATGAGGTTTAGTATTTTTTTAATTCCAATAAAAATGCTATAATTAACTTATAAATTGGACTGCATAAAGTATACAATTAGTCATTCTCTATTTGAAAATAGGCCTAATGCTTAGTTTACTTAACATACTATATTTAGTTTATAATCTTTTCAGTTATATTTATAAGTTACTTTCAATATGTTTTATTAAATTAAGGAAAACCTTAAAAAATATTAAGTAATGTTGAGTTAAGTGGTAAATTTGAGGTCCTTAGAGATAAATAACTTTTGAATTTGGTCTTTGGGAATATTTTTCCAATCTGAAATTGAAGAGTAATGAGTGTGAATAAGAAAATATTTAGATAGTTTGGTTACCACAAACTAGATTTTTAAATTTTTCTCATGTGATCTCGTAAAAATTCACTTTTAATATTTGGTTGAATTATGGAAATATTTTTTTTAAAAAAAAAAACCACAACGACGAGATTACCTTCTGGTTTCAGGTCTGTGCTGCTATATTAATATGGGAGTTGGCTTAAAAAAGGTCTAGCAAGTTATTAATGTCAGCCTAATACTAGTACTGTGTTACTAGTTAAGAAAATCATAGTCTCATATTACATAAGAAAGCGAATCCCCAGTGACTTTGTCGTGCCAATTGCCAAAAAGAAAGAGTTGTTGACTAACAAATGAAAACGAGTTGGGGCAAAAAAATAAAAATAAAAATAAGAAATAAGAAAGGCACATAATGAAGGTGGCTGCTCATGAGAGCTTATAAAAAGGCCAAGTTTTGTTCAAACTTGAGACACACCTCTCATAGAGCTTTTCCTTTTGCAACAGGAAGATGGCTCCTTCTCTGAATACCAAAACACTTTCACTTTGCTCTCTCTTCTCTCTCCTCCTCTTTTTGGTATGCAACTCTTTCTTTCATTTATATTGCTTCACACTCACACTCACACACACACACGCCCCCTTTTAAGCATGTTCTTGCTTTACATGCATCCACAATTTTTCCAATATTCTTGCGCCAGTTTTATTCTTCTGTAATTACACTTTATTCTACTATTTGATGATTAACCATTTATGAGAGCATGCCAATCATATAAATAGTATCATAATACTAAAATCTATATAGTATATAAGCGGTCACATTATTCATAAATAATAAATAGGGCGGTTCAGTCCATATTTTGGTAAATAATAGTTTTTTTTTTTTTTTCATTTGTTAGCATGTGCACGGAAACAATGCAAGAGAGATGAAGGCAGAGGAAGAGCTTCCAAAACAAAATGAAGCCTCACCAGATGACTCTTACACTCCTCCCTACAAAGCTGCATACGCCACCACAACCACCATCCATCATCATCATCAACCTTACCAAGCAGGCTACACTCACTCCCAAAAGGATCTAAAACAAACAGGTAAACCCTATATCACTGCCTATGGTGGTACCAAAAGGGGGAATCATCCTTATATAGCCGGATATATTAATGGCAGAAAAGAGAATAAGCCTGCAGGTTACATTAATAACCAAAAGATGAATCAACCTTACATAGCCGGATATATTAATGGTGGGTATATTCACGGCAAAAGAGAGAATCAGCCTGGATACATTGATAACAAAAAGATGAATCAGCCTTATATAGCCGGGTATATTAATGGTGGGTATATTAGTGGCAAAAGAGAGAACCATCATCATGGATACATCGATAACAAAAAGATGAATCAACCTTATATAGCCGGATATATTAATGGTGGATATATTAATGGCAAAAAAATGAATCATGATACTGAAAAGATGAATCAACATTATGTAACTGCATATGGTGGTGACAAGAAAGATTCAGAAGAAAAGAATTCTGAAGAATCTTACGCTGTTGCCTATGCAAAAGATTCCAAAGATTCTTATGCAATGACATATAGAAAGACAGAATCAGAGAATGCTGATGCAGCCACCACAAAAGGGGACCACACAGAGCTGTTCAAGAAAGGCTTTTTCTCTTTGGATGATCTTTATGTAGGGAATAGGATGACCCTCCAATTCCCTATTGAAGAGTTTCCTCACTTCCTCACAAAGAAAGAAGCTGACTCCATTCCTTTCTCAACATCACAACTTCCAAGCGTCCTTCAACTTCTCTCAGTCTCTCAAGATTCACCTGAAGCTCAATCCATGAGAGACACACTTGAACAATGCGAGCTTCAACCCTTGACAGCGGAAACCAAGGTCTGTGTTTCTTCCTTGGAGTCCATGATCGACTTCGTTCGCTCCATTATGGGTTCTGATTCTCAGCTAGACATTCTCACAACCACCTTGCCTGCAGCATCAAGCGTCCCGTTACAGAACCTCACAGTTCTGGAAATCTCCCCAGATATCTATGCTCCTAAGTGGGTGGCTTGCCATCCATTGCCTTACCATTATGCTGTTTTCTACTGTCACTTCATAGACTCAGGGAGTAAGATCTTCAGGGTTCGATTGCGTTCTGAGAGTGGAGAGCAAATGGAAGCTTTGGGAATGTGTCACCTGGACACATCTGAGTGGAGTCCTGATCTTATTTTTCTGCAGCAAATGGGAATCAAACCAGGGGAAGCGCCAGTGTGTCATTTCTTCCCTGTGAAACATCTCATGTGGGTCCCTCTTCCTTCAAAGGCCGCCATGTGAAGTGAAGATCATGTCTAGTGTCTTTGCCATGTGTGTGTCGAAGTCGAATAATAAATGAACAAAGCTGGTGGTCTTGGTGTTGTACAATATGTAGAAAATCTCAATTGCCAGCATGGTTACGTTCTTCTCCATCATGCTTTGTTATCTAGTTTAATTTCTCCAATATGATCCTAAAGCTTCTCTTAGCTTGTTAAGTCATTTGTTTTGTCTTCTTGTTAGTCAGCAAAATCAATAATTAACTTGTTTCTGAACCATCTCAGTGGCGCAAAAGAAGTGAGAGCGAGAACGAAGTGAAGAAAAGAGTGCAAAATGAGTTACTAACATTATAATCATTATATCCCAACAAAAAAATGTATTCATATCCTAAAAAATGTCAAGTAATAATTCTACACTTTTCAGATACACTTCTAAACTTTTTCCTGATAATATCCGAGGAAGCATAGCCTGGGTTCATAGTCTTTCATGAAAATTTATAGTTGTATTTTGAAATTTCATGGAATGTGTCATTTTCTGAATAACAATAAAAAAAAAATTTCTTGACAAATTGTTTTAAGGGGAAAAATGTTACAAATTTTAATCTTCAATGTCCATTAATGATCACTTGAGACAATGGAAGAAAAGTGTAGGATATCGAACAAACATTACAGACCTTGGAAGAAAGTTTACAAAAAGATCTCTTCCCAATCCATAAAAGAAATGTCTCAGACCAACGAAAGAAATAGAAATGATTACAGGAAGAAGGACTTGGTGCTTTGTCAATCTTTGATATGAGAAACTTGTAAACTCACACTTGAATGTGAAATTGTTAAGTTATTCAAATATAAGTGAATTTAAGTCAATATAAAAAGACAAATATTTATAAACTTGTGCTTGAGGTTTTGAAGTAAGAATTTCTTCACTTCTCTCTTTTTCAGCCAATCGCCCCATTCTTAACAAGTGTTATTGGAGAAATTTTAAGAACATGAAAGACAATTTAAGTGTCATTGTAGAACCTTAACAAAAGTGGTGCTAGAAATGAAGCTAAATGAAGCCCTCCAACGCCTAGGTGGGTTAAGCTCGACATTAATGGCTCTATCAACATCAATAGTGCTATCGCTTGTGGAGGTATCATTGGGGATGAAAAGGGTAATTGGATTAAAAGATTTTTCAAATATTTGGATTATTATCCTAACAAGGCAGCTGAACTCATAGGAATTTTCGAAGGTTTTAATATTTGTTAGAATGCTGAACTCCATAAAGTCAATGTATATTCCAATTCAATAGAAGCTTTATTACTTATCGAGTATAACTATTCTAAAAGACACCTCTTTCTAACATTATTAAGAAAATCAAAGACCTCATCGTAAAGGATTGGATGATTACTTTCAATCATGTTTATAGAAAAGCTAACAGATGTACCAACCTTCTTGCTCGTTAGCCATCTTGGAATAACTTCAACATTAGAATTCTTCATAATTTCCTGCCTGAATGTAAAAACCTTATAGATTTAGATATGACTTGATTTTTGTCACTTTTGCACAATTATGCAGTCGCCTTATATTCTCTAAAAAAAAATATAAGTCGTGGCAGGTTGGGTCCTTTTTACCAATCCTTCCTTAGGATTGCACCAATCAAGCCTATTAAAAAAAATGAAAGAAACAAACTATTGAGATTGATATTTGATTTAAGTTTCTATCTTGATGCTGGAGAATATCAATAACCTATTGATGACTCATAATATAACTCCTTTTGTTGTATTTTTTTTCCACACAATAATTCTATGAAAAAATACTATTATGGAGTGTCAACAAGTTATTAATATTATCCTGCATCAAGATAGAAACTTGAATCAAATCTCTATCTCAACACAAACAAAGAAAAACAAAATGAAAAGAAAAGGGATTTTTTTTGTTCAGAGAAAAGAAAAGGAATTAAAATGATTAAAATCAACCAATATAATAATATACATACAAATTCACCTCTAAATTTATTCTTCTCAACCAATATTTTAAAAATTGGATCAAATTATGAATTGGAAAGGTTAGCGAACCACAGTTCTCATGGTTTAATCGGTTGGGTAAATGGTCAAACCAATAATATAATAATTAAATAAAAAATAATATTTAAATGAAAAACGAGTCAAAATGGTTCAATCATTCTAAGTCCCAAGTTTTTATCTGGATCTTCAAAAATTGCCAACCTAAGTCAATTGCTAAGATGGGCCAAATGGTTGAATCAGATCATTTTCTTCTTCAGGCAATGGTCGACTGATCCAATCATTCGGGCCAATTCAAGTCTAAAAACAATGTTATGAAGTTGCTTATTAATTTTTAATCAATTTTCAAATTACATTTTATTATCTTCCTTGAACTAGAGACAATGACAAAATCAGAATTCAAAACCATTGATAAAAGACTTGGATAAAATATAATTCATTATCTTTCACTACACTCATTTTTTTAGTTGTTATATTCAATTATTTTTATAATTGTAAAAGACTTGGAGTACATCTTTTTGGCCAGATTCAAGAGTCCATGAATCCTCGTATACTTAGCAGCGCATATAAAGCCGTCTTTAGTTTTAATTCGTATGCATTACATTATTTTTCCATTTGGCCTTTTTTATAAGCATTCGATCGTGAGATTAAGAAACATAATTAAAAGAAAAAATTACAACTTTTAAAAATTAATTTTCCTTTAATTAGATTGGTTCATCAATGGAGAGGATGGATGAAAAAAACCATTATTTAAATTAAGAGTTAAAGAGATAATATAACACTTTTTTTTAAATAAGACAAGAATGTTTTATTAAATTTTGTATTGACGACCAATTGGTAAGGTTTTATAAATACGACTAAAACGAGTATATTAGGCATGTTTGGTTTTGTTCTTATTTTATTTTTTTGCTTTCAAAATTTATTTTTAAAAATAAAATAAAATGAAAATTTGTTTATGAAAATAATTTTAGAGTTAACAAATAGCCTAAAGTGGTTGTGGTTGTGGCCAATGGTCAATGGTGATGCCCAAATAGTGGATGGTCGTAACTGAAATTAATTTGCAACAATCAAATACTGCGTGCTTTTATTAAAAAAAAAGTGAAAGCAATTTTACAATATTTCTGCTTTAAAAAATAAAAAATAAAATATTTAAATCTGAAACATTTATTCAAAAATTTTTTGTAAAGGGTAAAAGAGCAAATTATAATTGAGCCTGTAATTTTTATAAATTCAAAAGTATTTAAGACCCTAAATTTATTCGATGAATAATTTTTTTTTAACTTTTGAAAATGATGCTACCATTAACTTTAATTGTTAGTTAACTAAAAAATGATAGAAACAAATTTTAAAAATGACAGCAAATGGCTAAAAAATTACAATAAATAACCAAGAAATTATAGATAATTAAGGACCCAAGAAATTATAGTAAAGCATCAAGAAAATTTTATTAGTTCTTTTTTGTAATTTTTGAAATTTTATTTTATTTTTTAGTTAATTAACTAATGATTAAAATTAACTTTTATTAACAGTACACATTAAGTTGTATTGTTTTTAAAAGTTAAAAAAGAACATTGCACATTAAATTAGTGTAAGTCTCAAACGCTTCTAAATCTATGAATTAGGGGCTAATTTACTCTTCTACTTTCCCTTTTTTTTTTTGAAAAATAGAAACTAAATTGGCGTTTAATTTTTAGATTCAGTGAAAAACGACATTGCTAATCTTCGTTTTGAAGGAAGAATGTATGGACGACTTATTTTATTATTAAAAAAATCTCAAGTCGTTTCTTATACTATAAAATATATCAAGTCTTTGTTAATTCACCTCTTTGTCTCTCATAATAAACTGCATTATTATGGAGTTTTTCATTTTGTCATATCAAGAAAAGAAGAGTTTGATGTGATCGATCGTTAATTAATCCTTTCAACATTTTTTTTATGTTTCGTAATCCTATCCTACTCATTATTTTATTTAATACGTGTTACAGCAAACGTCTTGCTTAAAACAAAGCAAATCATCTGTGTAAAATATATATATTAAGAGAAAGTAATTGCTAATAATTATACTTATCTCTCGCTGTACTTAATGGCTGCTTCATTTTCAAACAATTGTCATTTCAGAATTTTAATGAAGTATTTATTAATTTTTCAGATCATTTTATCCTTCAATTTACGAGAGAGACTTTAATTTTTAATTTATATCTAACGAATTGATGAATAAGGATATTTTCAATAATATATATATATATATATATATCTTATTTTTTTGCATATATTCTTATTAAAAATAATCTTATTTAAGGTACATCGGGCATTAAATATGGGCATTACATTTGTTATAATTTATAATATTTTGGGGGACATAATATTGAATTGAGGTTTATTGAATTTATGCTGAATTTCGATATGCAGTACCATCTCAATGGTTTGAATTGCCCGCCATGAATTAATTAAGCTACTCTGCAATTTTTTTAAAAATAAATTAAATACAATTAATTAGCTACTTGATTTTGAAGTTTTGATTATCAAAATCTCCAGATCGTTCGTAGACCACGTTCACATCTCTTTCAAGTCTCTGAATAAATTGCATATTCTTATGGGTTTTTTTTATTAATGTATTCTTTTGACATTTTTTATGCAAGTTGTTTCTTGATCCTGTCCATCATCATTTTATTTAATACATAGTGATACTATCAGTTTAATTTACTTAAAATAAATCAAATCATCAATGTAAAATATATTAAGACTGAATAAACAACTCTGCTTATCTCACGCCACTCGATGGTTCCTTCATTTTCAAGCAAATGTCATTTTAGAATTTTATTAAAAGGGTTATTAAATGGTAAAATTTTGTTGGTACTTTTTTGTAATTTTCTGGATTATTGTTTGTAATTTGGATTCTTTTTTACAATTATTTTTGGTCTTTTTTAATAATTTTTTATTAATTAATAGTCAAAATTAATTTTTATTAATTGTATAAATGACATTATATAGTTTTTAAAAATTAAATATAGATATTATATCAAAAATAAATTTAGGATCTTAGTCTCCCAAATTTTATTTGAGCTATTGGTCAAGGATGAAATTGACATTTAATTTTTATTAAAATGTTGATTATTTTACCCTTCAAGTTAATGAAGAAAAAGAGAGACATTAACTAAAAACTTAATGAACAAGAAAATGTTCACTGAAATACCATTGCCTATTTTTTTTGGTTGGAGTGTAACCTAACTCACTCTCTACTCTACTTTAATTACATATATTTCTCTTTTATTTTTAAAATCTATATAAATTTATTTTAGTATAAATAATTAAAAAAACACAATGTTGGACCAAAACACCCTTTCTTTAAATGTAAATATTGTCTAAAAATTATTTAAATTAACAAAAAATTAATTGGCCAAAATAATATTTCAAAAATTTAGTTACAAATTTAGTTAAATAAGGATTTAATTATAATAATTTACACAATATAATTTATATTTATGTTTTGAAATTTTATTAATTTTAAATTATTTATTTTAATATTGAAAAAATTATTTACAGTTTTTAAAATTTGGGGAGAGAGAGTAGAATATTTGATTATAAGGGTAAAATAGTAATTTTAAAATTTTAAACATAATTACAAATAAAAATTTAGTATTTTTTAAAATCTTTAATGAAATATTCCTAACGATATTAACAATTACACTAAAGTATGGATCCAGTTTTGGTGTGTGCTCATCACCCAAAAAAAATCTAGGCCATCTAGATTCTCAAATTTTTCAATTTCAATTTTAATTTCAAATTTATATTTATAAAAATAAAATGTATAATTTTTTATAAATATATTTATCATCAATTTGTCTTTAAGGTCTAGATATACTCTAGATAGTCTAAATTTAATATTAAATTTTTATCTTTAAGGTCTAAATTTAAAATTTTTATTTTATTGTTAATTTTATATTTATTTAAATAAAAATTTAATATTGAATCTGTTTTATCCATAATATATTTAGATAGTCAATTTATGAAAATTATAATATTACATTGAACACCCAGAGTCTCAGGTTGAATTAATACTGTCCAGATTAATGATAAATATGTTTACCAAAAAAATTTATAATTTTTATTTTTATAAATATAAAATTAAAATTAAAATTAAAATTGAAAAATTTGAGCTGTTAGATTAAATTTGGATGGCCTAGATTTTTTTTAGGTGATGAGCGCGACTTGTTAAGCACCGAAACTAGATCCTTAGAGTATATATTTTGAAAATAGAAAAAGGTGTTGGTAATTTAAATAAAATGAAAGGAAGGTTATTGTATTTTATTCTTTTGATTATAATTCAAACCATTTTAATCCTATTTTCACACGCCAATTTTTTTTTAAAAAAATAACATGCTCCATCCATTTCATTTTATAAAATTATTTTGAAGGTGATTTGATATTTTAAAATATAAATAAAAATAAAATTTTATTAATGGTGATTATTTTAATATTACCTTTCACTGTATCACTCTTTAAATAATTTTTTTTCCTATCTCTCTTCCTAATGAAGGGTGCTTTTAATAATTGATATTGTAAATTATATTTTATAAACTTTATCAACATACTCCCTCCATTAAAAAATATAAGATATTTTTTGAGGAGTTAGATGTTAAAAAATATAAGACATTTTTAATCTTTTGAGATGCAATCATTATTTTTTTTTAAAGTACTTGTATTGATGAATGACTTTATATTTATTATAGGATATTTAGTAGGGATAAATATAAAAAAATAGAGGTAGTTTAAAAGTAGGTAATTATTTTATTGAAGAGTGAGATTCTATTAAAAATGACTTACATTTTTTAACAAAGAAGGTATGTAATTTTATCAAAAAAAATTATAAATTGAGATGGACAAAATACTTGACTTTGACCCTCCAACAATCAAATGATTAAATTTTCTAAATCAATAGTACATCATGATTGATGATTGATGATTGATGCAGCAATTGATTAATGAATACTATCACATTAAAACGCCACATAATATTAAACACTTTCCAAGTCTTATCTTATTCTTATTTTGTGAACTTTGATAACATCGAATATTATCTTATGTAGTGTGCGAAACTGCCAAGTTGAACCAGGGGATAGTAGCTGCGAACCTGAGTATAGCTAATACTAACTTCTTTAATTTATCACATAGACTTATCTTCATTTTAAAAAGAAAAAAATACTTTGTAAGAGATTGAATTGAAGACAGAGATTGAATAATGTGTTCATAATTGTGGAGTAAAGAAGATCAAATATTAATATCAATCAATATTAATGCAAACTATAAAATATATAGAAAGATCCAATATTTAAATTCATAAACAATATATTTAAAAATGAATCACACAATTTATAACTTGTAAATAATTGAGATTTCACTATTATAATGTCGATTTTACTATTAGCGAAAAAACGCTCAAAATTTAATTTGTTGGAGAGATTTCCTCTTAATTGAGATCCATAACAACTTCAATTTAGGTTAATTGATAGTATTAAATATTTAATTTTTTTTGAAAAATGTAATTGTATTCATACATTTTCTACAAAGTATGCACTAAATATTGAAAATGATGAATACAACATAAGTAAAATAAAAATTTAGGATTCTTAATTTATTTATTTTTCTTGTAAACAAGATTCAAAATATAATTTGAATCAAAATTCATAAATAATTTAGACACTTATTCTTTTTTTTATTCAAATTTGGACACTTATTCTAATAATTTTTTGAATTGATTTGCTCACCAAACAAACGAGGATAATTTAAATACTACAATCTCAAAGGACTCTCCCATAAAATGTTGGGATTTATTACTTTATGTGATCTGACGTAATTTGGGAATCAACTTTAGTGATCATTAGGCATCACGTTGGATGATCCAAATTTGAAGTTCTTAATTTTTATTTTTATTTCATATTTATAAAAATAAAAAAATATAAAAAATATAACAAAATTTTTCATTATCAGCTGGACAGTTTAGGTTTAATTTGAATTGTCTAAATTTAATATTAAAATTTTTATAATTTTATATATTCACTATTTAGATTTACTCTAGACAATCCAAATTTAAAATTTTAACTTACAAAATTTTTTAAAAAATATATTTTTAAAAATTATCAGTTAGGGTATTATCATTATTTTCATTAAAATAAAAATTATAAAAAAATTAACATTAAATCTACACTTCTAAAGTAGATGATCAATTTATAAAAATGTTAATGTTAAATTAGACCATCCAAATTAAATTTGTACTATCCTAATTGATAATAAATTATTTATTAAAAACTTTATAAATTTTTTAATAAAAATAATATAAAAGATCTAAAAAAATTTAGATCTAAATCATACTGATTAAAATATGGATGGTTCAGATTTTATCACGATGAATAGCATAATGGTTATAAATAAGGCAGTTGTGTTGGAGTCTTAAGCATCCCTCACTTGGTATAGCACAATAATGGCTCTTATAGATACTCACAGCAATATTGCACTTCTCTGCTTTAGCTGCTCATGGCTTCTTCTCTTGATCATGGTCAATCTACCACTTGCTTCTTCTTATTTCATGTCTAGTTTGGCTTTAACCTCACTTTTCCTTCTTAACTTTACTCTTCTATTTATATGCTCTTCCTAAATATATCTCTTTCAATTTGTTTTTTTGGTCTGTCTAAGTTATGAAGGTGTACAAGTTACACCCTACCATGATCCATCTCTCTTTCATAAATTTTAATTTCTTTATCATAAAACCATCTAATTATGATGTATGATTCCTTTTTTTTTTATTTTTTCAAGAGAAAATTACTTTAGCATTACAAGGTTCACTGACAGCTTAATAGAGAAAAATAATTGACTATGACAATCTTATTGCTTGTCATTTTCTTTGTCAAAAAAAAAAAGGTTGTTATGTTTCTCTGCTAAATTGTTCATGGACCTTGTAATATTTAATTGAATTGTGAGGGTCTTGTGTGTAATTGTTTTTTTTTTTAAAGGTGTTAGATAGGAGAACTAGAAAGGGGATAATAAGAAACATGTACAAATTATAATCATTTTGTTACTTTGGTTCGGTTGGGTTGATATAGATTGCCAAGTTATGTATGCATTTATGCCTTTATGTAGTTTTACTAATGCAGCAGTGGTAAAGATTCAATTTGCTTGTGAAACACCCGCGCTGAATTGAACTTTTGGCCTTACTTTTTTTTTTTTTTGCCAGCAGATATTCGGAAGAAAGAAATATTTTTGTTTTCTTTTAATGTTTATTTTAATTAAATGACATGTTTTTTTAAATAAACTATTTCTAATAAGTAGCAAAAAGTTATGCAACCGCCATTGGCCTCGGTACCAAAATGGCACCAAAGACCATTCAGGACAAGATCGTGGATGTGTTTATATGTAATAATATATAAAAATAAATAAATATAAGAAGAAATAAAGCAAAAGGTTAGAACTTCTTCAACGCTTGAGCAAATTTTTTTCCTTAAAACAATCATATTATACTCAATTATTACTTATCTTAATTATTAATTCTAATAACATTTGTTTAATTCGTTAAATACGACTATATGAGCTACATGGTACTCAAGAATTCTCATTTCTAAGATAATTACCAATTAAGTACAGATTGTACTGTGTAATATGAAATTTGTCTTGTAAGTGATTGTTGCGATTATAAGTTTCAAAATCTCCAACAAATTAGCCCTTCATTGTGAAGTTGGATTCCTTATTCCTTTTCCTTTGCAATACAGAATGGCCAAGTCATCCATGCCAGAGACATGAAGGTACTGCAAAAGCCTGCAGAAGAGAGAGCTTCACAAATATCCACTACCACACACAGCTTCAACCAACCATTCCTTGATGGCTGGTACAAAAACAATCCAGATGAAGGAAGAAACATCAAAAATACCAATCAAATTTATCTTGATGGCAGGTTCAAAAACGCCCCAGAAGAAGGAAAAAACGTCAAAAAAATCAACCAACCTTATCTTGATGGCTGGTTCAAAAACACCCCAGAAGAAGGAAAAAACATCAAAAATACCCAAGAAGGAGAAAACACCAAAAACACCTATCAACCTTACCTTGATGGCTGGTTCAAAAACACTAAAGAAGAAGGAAAAAACATCAAAAACACTGATCAACTTTACCTCGATGGCTGGTTCAAAAACACCCAAGAAAGAAAAAACATCGAAAACACCAATCAACCTTACCTTGGCGGTTGGCTCAAAAACATCCATGAACGAAAATCTACTGAAAGCGCCAATCAACCCTCCCTTGATGGTTGGTACAAGAACAATGAAGGAAAACCAGTCAAAAACATCATTCAAGCTTACCTTGACGGCTGGTACAAAAACGCTCAAGAAGAAGGGAAAACCGCTGAAAACTCTGATCAACCTTACCTTGATGGATGGTACGAAAACAACCAAGAGAAGGAAGAGTCAAAAGATACTGATTTGAATAATTCAAAAGGAGAACCATCTTCCAAAGTGGACCATACAATGGCCTTCAAGGCGTTATTTTTCACCCTGGATGATCTTTATGTAGGGAATGTGATGACACTGCAATTTCCTGTACGAGAATATGCTCATTTCCTTCCAAGAAAAGCAGCTGACACCATCCCTTTCTCAACTTCAGAACTTCCTAGCCTTCTTCAACTCTTCTTATTGTCCAGAGATTCTCCAATGGGAGAAGATATGAGAGACATACTTCAACAATGTGAGTTTCCACCCTCGAAAGGTGAGACCAAGGCTTGTCCTACTTCTCTTGAGTCCATGCTTGAATTTGTTCGAAGCATTCTAGGTACAGATGTCAACTACCATGTTCTCACAACCAGCTATCCTACAGCATCAAGTGCTCGTCTACAAAACTACACTGTTTTAAAAGTGTCAAAAGATATCTATGCTCCAAAATGGGCTGCTTGTCATCCTCGGCCTTACCCTTATGCAGTTTATTACTGTCACTATTTAGACATTGGAAGTAAGGTGTTCAGGGTCCTACTAGATGGTCAACACGGAGAGAGAATGGATGCTCTGGGCATTTGCCACCTGGATACCTCGGACATGGACCCTAATCACATTCTATTCAAGCAGCTTGGAATGAAGCCAGGAGACGGTCCATTGTGCCATTTCTTCCCTATCTTACATCTTCTGTGGGCTCCACTGCCTCCAAAGTACACCATGTAAGAACAGAGGAAAGGGAGCTTTGTTTGTTACAAATATGTGTCTCTGTTAGCTCTCAGACAGTGTTTCTGTGTCTTCAGTGTTCGAATTTTGGATCAGTGAAATGTGTGTATGAATCATGGGCTCCCGAAAAGTAGTCTCTCAGTGTTATTCATGTGCAGCTGGGTGTTTCTGATGTTTTATTCTGTCTTCAATGTACAAAGGTTTGAACAGTGTAACGTTTATGTGAATAACGTGGTCCCAAAAGTGGTATCTCTGCTATTCATTAGCAGCTGGGTGTTCCTCAATGATGACAAGAATAAATATCTGGACTTGTTGCAGCCTTAAATCCATATTCCGCAATGGATCGAGTCATGGTGCGCAGTTCTTCAAAAATTATTCACTCAACAAGGCCCTTGAGAAGCTGAATTTTTTTAATGAATCTATTTTCCATCATTCCGGAGGAAGAGGTGTCGGGATTAATTCCGTCAAGTAACTGCATAAACAGAGGACTCTGTCCACACTAATTTTGAAAATCTCAAAAACTCATCTCTTTCTCCTCACCTCGTAACTTCGAAACTCAAATCAAACCCATTCCACTTTGCTTTGCAATTTAAAAGATTATAGCTCCTTGTGATTTGGGTGGAACTGAAATTCTACTTAAAAATTTTAGCATGGCTGATGCAAAACTATACACATGATAAAAGTCACATCCTTCAATACAGAAATGCACTGACTATCACCCAAATACTGCAACTAAACTACTAGGCATTCGAAAAAATCTTCAAATTTGTTGAGATGCAAAACTTACAAAAATTAATATACACACTAATTTCTTAAAAACCCTTTCACTAGTTCAGCAAAACTTCTCTAATAATCATCCTCTAGTGAATAATATTAAGAAAATCGGAGAGTTTGCAATGCAAAATTAAATAGTCACTTTTAATCATATTCTTAAAAAAACTAACAAATGCACTAATATGCTTGCTCACCAAACTCCTCAAGACAATTACGATATTATTATTTTTACTGATCCTCCTATAAAATGCAGAATCATCTTAAATTTTAATATGACTTGATTCTTACGCCTTTTGCACGGTTCTTACTGTGCCCTTCTATTTAAAAAAAAAAATTACATAACTTGTACATAAGAGGCATTCTAAAGGCAAACAAAACGCCCGAAACACTGCGGCCTAAGAAAAATTGATACCCAGAGCCACAAAATGAGTAAATACAACAAATTAGCGGTTGTATTCATGTCACTGAGCAGCATCTTCAGGGAACCTAGCATCAAACGGAGCCGAGGGATGAGAATGAGCTGAATTAGCAGCAGCAGATCCAGAACCATGTTGCAATTCAATAACAAGCCAGCGAACTGCTTTACTCATCTGTTCCAACCGAACTGCACTGATGGGTGGAAGACCAGTTGTGGTAGCCTGTCCAGGCTTTCCTGCCACGGAGCCAGTTGCCTCATCCACCAGACACTCTGATCCTATCCTTTGCTTCACAGACTCCACAAACTCCTCGGCTTGATCACATGCCACTCTAAATAATTCCCACTTCTGCTTAAAGTTTTCTAGAGCAGTATCTGTTGCCGTTGCTTTCTGGGCGCCAGCATTTTCCTTAACTTCAAGCACATTTGCTGCTGCAGCAACAAAATCTTGGTAGGCACTATTGAGTGAATCAACAAGGTTGTCCATTGAAATGCACTAGATGAAAATCTTGTAACTGCAGAGACCGAGGACACTCAAGATTCCAAAGTAAGGGCCCAGGAAAATCACAAGCATTCAAGTCTCACCTGTTAATTACCACAGTTTCCAGACAATTACAAAGTAACATCTAAAGCCCAGCTTACATAGGCAGTGTGCAAATCAAGATAGAACAAGCAAGCCCAAGAAACCATTTGTTGTTCTTAAGTTTTTCTCTAGTTATATCACCATTTCAGGCTTACGGAATTCTCTCTTTCACAAGGGAAACCTAGCAATAAAATCCTATGATCTTTAATAAACCCCGGGTAAATGCCCTCGATATATATATATATATATATATATAAAATGAAACCAGATCAAACATAAATCAAACATGAATAATCTTGCTCCAAAGGGTTCCTTCACAAACAGAGAGGAATGTTAAGGCGCACTGTGGAATACAATAACAAAAAACCAAAATTGCCCTGGGATGTCAGGAGCTTTCATTCAACATTACCTCTGCAAGCAACAATCCCAGTTAAAGAGAAGATACCTCCCACCCGAACCACGAAGAACAGGGGCAGCATTTTTATGAAGCAAGGAATTGCAGTTTATGCAAATATCACAGAAAATACATAATCACACTAGCCGATCGACTCAGGGCATCACTCCTTTATTCAAATATTAGTTGCTTCCCTAATTCAAACCCAAGTGCAAAAACCATTAAACAACGGGAAAAGAGGAATAAGGTGCCAAGCATGCCGAGGAAAAGGAGAATACAAGTCAAAAGCGACGTACAGATGGCAAATAGCAAAGAAATTTGCACATCAGTATCCAAAAAGACGGGGAAGACGAGGGAAGACGAGGGAAGAGCTTTAAAAGAGGAAAAGGGAAGGAAGCAGCAAATTCGCCAAAATCCAAGATCCACATAGTCTTACCGTATTCTGCAACAATCAAACCCGAACTCGAAATCGTCGATCTAGTCCTTCCCGCAAAGTCACATGTGTCGTTGCCGCGCGTCTCATCGAGGTGCTATGGAAGCAATTCCGTCGCGGATGGAAGGGAAAAACTTGAAAGTGAACGAAAGCGTCGTACAAAACTCATAAGAGACCGAGATTAAATTGGGAAAAATGACAATTATGGACGCATAAAAATATTAATAATATTTACGCAACCTATATTATTGCAATATCAATAACATACTACTCACTCTAAATTATAATATAAGTCTTTCTCTAAGAGCTTCGTTTAATTAAGAATATAAGGCATTAGGTAAGTATAAAATATTTTTTTCAATTACATCTTTACTTTATTAAGTAATTAACGATAATATTTTAAACAAGTTAAATATTATATTTATTATGTTCAAGGGTATGGTGGAAAAAAAGTGAAAATTTTTAAAAAAGTCAAAATCTTAACCAATTTTTTGAAAACATAAATTAGTTAGCAATGATTTATGATGCAGTCTAGAGACAATATGATACTTCCCTATAATAAACTATCTTTTGTTAATTGATTTGAGATTTTCAATGAATTTTATTAAAATTTCAATTGACACTACAAAAATTTTTAACTATCTTTTATTAATTACTCAAGCGATAGTATGATTTACAATTCATAATTAATTTTCATAAATTCCCAACCAATAATACAAATAATTTTAAGTGTATTTAATAGATTTTTCAAATATTTTACTACTTTCAGACCATAGTATATGTCATTTTTAATTAATGCACGGTTTATAAAAAATATTAGTTAAAACTTAAGAAAAGTCCACATCTTTCAATTTATTCTCCTTTAAGAGTTGTTAATAATACTCACATGATCTTTAAATATGGAGTATTTAAAGACAAGAAATAAAAAAACAAGGATGTAAATGAAAAAAAAAACATAAATTTACCTAATGCCTTGTATTTTTTTTTTTACCAATAAGTGTTATTAAAAAGTGATTTATATTATGTTTTGGAGGGAATGTCTATATATTGATATAAAAAAATCATAAATGATTGGCTCATAATTCACAATTGATTGTCGTAAGACATTATAAATGATTCAAAATATATTTAATAAATTTTTAATTAATTATTTATATTTTTTTAATTGTAAGTAAGGATCATAGTTTGTTATTACAATTTTAATAATTTAGAGTCTTTAATTATCATTAATATTTTTATAAGAACCTAATTATTATTTTTTCATTAATTTTTTTTAATTACAAACCTGGGCTAAGGCCCACAATGTCAATCGCTATCACGTGCAAGTTATGATATTGTGGGCCTAATCAAGGCCTCTTTTGTGTTGACTTATCAAGCCTTAAGAGAATAAGATTTTTTTTTAAATCCAACGTCAATTTTATTCATTACTAAAAGTGGCCCAGTCACAAAAAGAAAAAGCATTAAAAAGGAAAAATAAATAAAGCCCAATGAAGAGGTTAGGCAAGAATAGGGGTGTTCACGGGACAGGACGGGACCGGGACACCCTCGTCCCGTGTCCTGTCCCAAAAAAAAGATCGGGACTGAATTTTGGTCCCGTGTCCTGTCCCGTCCCGAAAGTCGTCCCGTCCCGTTAAGAGTCGGGACGGGACCGGGACAAGATCGGGACGTCCCGCCGTCCCGATAAATGAAATAATATCGAAAAAAGATCTAAATAATAATGTTTATTAAAATTTTAAATTATATAATTTATTAAGTTTAAAATCAAAATAACACAAGTATATAAATAACAATAATTTAAAATCAATTATTGAATTATATTAATCACAACTACATATTATAATAAAAAATACAAGTGATCTTTATGCTATAAGATTAGCAACAACAGGCAAGTCAAATACAACATCAAATAATTATTCTTCTACTTTAGTAAAGATGTGCTAAGCTAATTACTCTTCTAAAAATAAGCAAGAAATATGAAATAAATAAAAGCTATTAAATAGATAGATATAAGAATAAATTATATTAATATAATTAATATATTATAAAAAAGATATCGCCATGTTTACTCTATGCCATTAAAATTATCAATATAAAAACACTTTAGTTTTAAATAAAAATTGTAAGTATTAAAATTATAATTGATATAATTAATATAAGTATAAATTATATTAATATAATTAATATATTTAAAATAAAAAATAACATATATAATATTCGGGACGGGACGGGACGTCCCGATGGTAATCCCGTGTCCCGTCCAGTCCCGAACCCCTTTCCTGTCCCGTCCCGTAAAGTCCCGTCCCGATTATTTTCGGGCCGGGACAAGACCCGTCCCGATATGATCGGGACGATACCGGGTCAATCGGGACGGGTCCAAATTGAACACCCCTAGGCAAGAACATATGAGCTAGGAATCAGCAAAAAATGAAAGAACTAACAAAAGCACACTCTATCTAAATCTGCAAGCAATAGATGCTGAGAACTGTCTCTAACAACCCAATGTCTGCAAATTCTAATAAGCACCATCTTTAAGAGTGCAACTAGAGTTGTGCATGGGCAGGGTCAGATAAGATAGACCCTTAACCTGATACCCTATCCTAAATGTCTTCGAGCTAAAAAACTATGCCCAAGGCCCAACCCTACCTGAAAGATGTCCATTTATGAAGGGGTCGAGCGGGCAAGGTCGGACATATCGGGCTAGATATTCAATATAGTATCCTTTTTTTATCACTTGAAAGCTTTTAATTGGACCAAAATATATTAAAATTGGGCTCAAAGTAGGCCCTAAAAAATCATTACTAACAATAAAATTGTGGGCTCAAACTGGTTGAATAAATCATAGACTAAAAAAACTTCATAGTAACAACATAATTGCAAATGACAAAAAATCAACAGACCTAGAAATGACAAAAAAGAAGTATAAAAAAAAGAGATTTCTACATTCACTAACCATCACAATAATCTACAACGTGAGGGTCAATTCTTAATCTTTGAAGCAATATAATCCCTTTTAGGTTCTTTGTGCGTCTTCGAATTGTTAGAGCATTAAAGAGTAAGAAAATGAGTAGTAGAACAATTAAATTCAGAGCTTGGGAATTATAGACCAAAGCTTACAAATAAGAGATTAGAGCAACAAGATCTCAATGCAAAAAAAAGCAATGAAGCATCCTCGACAGCGATGGAAGGTGAGCAACAAACCAAAGGCAAACATAGTCGATGTAAGACCTTGGATGGTAGTGACGATGAACTAATGGGCGGCCAGCGGTGAGAAGGAGGTAAGGAGCTAAGACCGCAATATGGAGTCATCAGAATAAGAGAATCTCTTAGTCTTACTCATGATAGGAGATGGAGATGAAGAGAGGTGCCGAGATGAAGGGAGGAATGATGACTTGTGATGGGAGACGGAGACAAAGAGAGGTGTTGAGAATGAACAGCGTTGCTGATTCCTAACCTTGAGTGGCGGCGCGACTTGTGAGATTGAGTGAGGAGAGGAGAGGATAAGGAAAGAGAGATGGTTAAAAACTAAAAATAACAGTCAAAACTTTGAGTGAGGAGAAGCTAGGTTTTCATCTTAACTTGTCACTTCTAGCCAATAAAATGCCATCATTTTAATTTTTTTAAAAAATAATATATAACCTCAGGTCGGGTAGGGTTGACTGGTTGGATACCCCAGTCCTAAACCTTGCCCAACCCGAGGTTCAAGCTCAGCCCGACCATGCCCAATTGTTTTTGGGCAATTATTTTCTAGCACGAGCAAGGCAAAAAACCATCAAGCCAGGTCGAGCATTTCAGGCTTTTGGATTTCTTGCACAGCCCTAAGTGCAACCATGCACAAGGGATTAGTAAGGTAAAAATGACTGGGACATAAATAAACCCACTATTGAGAGATAAAACTATTATACAAGAGGTTAATTTTTCATAACGTGATTAATATAAGAGAATACTTAATACATTATAAAAATAACTCGTTATTAAGAATTGGCCCAATCTCTCATATGAGGTGATCATCAAACCTTTGACGAATATAAAGAGTATCCCTTGCTTGAAAATGAAGTTAAAACACTCTTGTCATATTTTATTATTTTCATAATGTTAATATTTTTGATAATTTAGTATCTTAAAAAATAACACACACACACACACGATTTAAACAAAATGTTTTCATTTTGAAATAAGCCAATGCATGAGATTAATTCATTACAAAAATTCTGCCTCCTCTTCCTAAATTTCGAGAACACAGTGAATTTAAATTGAAAAACATATAACAAATTGTGCACATTACGCATAAGTCAATGTGTAGTTTCACTATCTAGCTGCTTATAGTAACAACTCACGTAGCACATAACAAGGATATGTTAAAAATATATATTATAAATAATCATTAGTAATATCCATTAATGCTGAAAGGATTTTCAACAATGATTATTTTAAGTTTTTTAATATCAATTATTGAGGAGAATTAAAAAAGGATAAGAAAGCAAAAAATATACTTTTAACATTGATTATTTAACTGATATCAAAAACCACTTTCCACATCGGTTATATAACCAACCGACGTGGATGGTTAAAAAAAACAATTAAATTATTTTTTTAAAAAATTATTTTTAACAACTGTTGTTAAGAGTTTATTTTTTAAAAAAATATTTTTTTCTTATACATCTAAAACTTAATACTTGTATAGATTAAATAACAAATATAAATAGCTAGCCAACATAACCATAGTCACTATACAATAAATTACAACTACACTATATTTTTGTTCAACTATTAAAAAACTAAAGAATTTTGTTTAGCCTCTTCACTTTGAAAAATATTCTTAAAGAACTTGTTGAGTCAAAATATCTTAAATGCCGTCAATCTCGTCTTCATTGTAAGGCTTCATATTATCAAAAATTTAAATAATAAAATTAATTAAAATAATAATTTAAGAAATTAAATACAAGAATTTAAATTAAAATAACAAAAACAAATACCTCTTGTAATCTTTTAGTATTCCAACTTGAATAATCTCATACATGTAATGGATAATATAATATCTACATTTTGTGTTTCTTGGTTGCCTACTACACTGAAATAAATGGAAATAGGACCTCCCAAAATTTCAACAACAATCAAGTTTAACTCAAATCTCAAGTAATTTGAAATTTTAATAAATCTAAACAAAATTAAACATATAAAAAGTTCTCCAAATAGGTATAAATTCCATTATACTATCTAGTCACATTCATAGCATAAAAATCGTTATAACAAATTTAATTCATCTAAATAAGTACAAATTTCATTCATTTATCCAGCAACATTCATCATAATAAATTTAATTCCTCTATCCATAAATATTTTAAAGAAAAAAGTTATATTAATTATAAAAAAAATAAAAATAGCAAAAACTCGCACACAGATACACACACACACAACCAGCCAATAGGAAGAAGCAACCCAAAAAAATATAAAATTTTCATAAAGCAAAGAAAAAATAGAAAAAAAATGATGATACTTACTTAGAATCTATGCACATGATCAATGCAACCCAAAAAATCAACTTGAAGCAACCTCTAACAACAAAGGAAGAGGAAGAAGCTAGCATTTACTGAAATGAAAGATTCACTAACAATGGAAGAAATATTAAAGCAAATGGATACACAAAATCAAAGAATAAACTTTGCCTACAAAGAAAAATGAAGAAAATATACCCCAAAAGCTTCAAACTCACAAAAATTGTGATGTTGTGCAGCTTTGACGTCATGGCATGTGGCAACAGTGGTGGCGTCGTGCGGTTTTGACAATAGCATGTGGCTTCAACGACATGGAGAAGGCTTTGACGATGGAGAGTGCGATAGGCAAAGGAGAGAGCTTTGGAAAGTTTAAAACTTAGAGAAAAAAGAACAGAGAATGGGGATCAGCGTTTTCAAAATCTAATTCAAGCATAACATACGTTGGTTATATATTCAACGTCAGTTGTTGCATAACCAACATCAAAAGCGACATATTCCTCTTTTAAAATTTTTATACATTTACAGTTTTTTCATTGCCTTATTTATCACAATGGTTGTTTAGAAAACTAACATTAAACGATGACATAAGAAATATTTTTTCTAGTAGGGATCATACTACTTCTATGAAATTTGAAGAATAGCATTTCAAATATAAGGCATTTTTTAAATGTTTGAGATAACTAATGATTTTTTTTTCTATTAAATACTATGTACATAACTCTCTCTCTCTCTCTCTCTGTGCGTGCGTGCGTGCGTGCGTGCGTGTGTGTGTCCCTAAACAACAAAATGAAATCGTAGTTTAAAGGGTCCAGATCATTACCATCTATGCCAAACCCATTAATAAAAATAACTTGTATTTGTCACAAAGATAGTAAAAATACATGCTTACCTCAATAATAAAAAAATTATAAAAAAATGCAACCCAAATGTGGATTATATCCTCTGAATGATTGAAGAAAGTAATTCTTATTCTTACTATTAAATTTACAATCAGATTTAAGTATGTAAATTGGAAAGAGTTAAAGAGTTTCAAGGCATGTTTGGTTTCTATTTCAATTTTTTGTTTTTAAATTTTTTTTATAATATCATTTTTAATATTATTTTTTGAAACAAAATAAAACAATTTGTTTCATCGTGTTACTTTAAAAAAAAATTAGAATTAGAAAATCAATTGACAATGATGGTCACTGATAGTTAATGATAGTGGCTTATAATAATTATTAGTTAGAATAACTGTAATTTTTAATAATCAAATGTAATATATTTTATAAAAAAAATTAAAACAGCTTTAGGATGTCTATATTTTTTTATTTTTAAAAATAAAGAAGAATAATTTTGAAAACAATTAAATTTAAAACATTTATTCAAACACATTTTTTATTTTTTTCATTTTTAAACAAAAAACTGTTTTTGAAAATGGAAACCAAAAAACCCCTTAAATACTGGTTTTTTCTTTGTTTATTTTTACCTGGTAATGGTACTGGGGTTTGGTGCTTACAAAGAGTTTCTTGAACAAATCAGAATTCAAAGATCTCTAATATATATTATGACAGCCAAAAAATAGTCAAAAAAACCATTAAATGATCAAAGGGATTCAAATAACAAAACTTTCGTCTAAAGTTCTCATCACTTGGTTAGTTATCTCATTTTCCCCACAACCTTATTTAAGAATATTAATTAATACTTAATTTAATAGTTAGTAAAGTAATAATAATTCATTAATTAATGCAATACCATACCTTTGACTCATTGGTCGATTCAGTATCATTCTCAAACACCACTGGCTGCTATTGTGTTCAGGTAGAAACCGCGGTGTGCAATTAGACACAATCAAAAATCAAGTAACCTCACCACCGGGTGCTTAATTCAATTGGCCAGAGGTTAATTGGACTTAACTAGAAATTTTCAAACTCAGAGTCCTAGATATGCAATAATGGTCAAACTTTCAAAATAGTGTTTGTAGGCTGCTGACCAAATTAATTTTTATCTAAAGACGTAAGATATCGGAGCGGAAGAAGAAAAATAGGGAATGTCTAGAGAAAATCAGTACCAATATTAAGGATTTGAATGGCCTCCTCCCTTCTCGATATTATAATACGACTTTAATCCTATTTTCTCTCCTGTCTGTTGCCCTCTTCAATGTATCTTCTGGTATCTCTCCATATCTCTCTCCAAATCTTCATCTATTATATTGGTACTTGGCATTGGGATGGAATAATATTTCTATCCCTTCTTTGCCTTTCTCTTCCTTTCAACCATGAAGAGAAAATTCGAAACTGCAGAAGAAGAACATGGTGATTTTCTCGCACTCTCACTCTCTTCATCATCGTCGTCGTCTCTTTCTCCACCGAAACCTTCATTATCATCGCCTCCATTATCATTACCATTACAATACACTTCGTTTCCTTCATCATCGCACTCAAATTTTTCGTCTGCACCTTCCTCATCAAACCTTAACCATCATGATTATTCCATTCCAATGCAAAACACTGCATATCCTGAAAGACCCTTTTTCCCACCCTCAATCACCGACCCTTTATTTTTTCTTAATCCACAACAAGTTGTTACAGAACCTGTGTTGTCATTACCCGCCACACAGCCCTATTCAAGCCTGAACCCAAACCCTAGCCGGAGACGTATTTCTCGAAACCCTAATCCTCATGGGCCTGATGGTGATGAGAAGAGCGAGATTCCTACACCGTTTCCATGGGGAAAAAATCGAAGAGCCATGGTTCAGTCCTTGAGGTATCTAAGGGAGAATCAGATATTGACCATTACAGGGATGGTTCAGTGCAAGACATGTGAAAGTAGCTGCGAGATGGGGTTCGATCTCGAAGCCAAGTTCGCAGAAGTTTCGACTTTCTTCGCGATGAACGAGTGCAACATGTACGACAGGGCTCCTAGAGTCTGGACGACTCCGATATTGCCGATTTGCAAGAACTGTGGGAACAGCGTACGACCTGTCGTTTCGGAGAAGAAGAGGTCGATCAATTGGCTGTTCTTGTTTTTGGGCCAAATGCTTGGGTGCTGCACGCTAGAACAATTGAAGTACTTCTGCAAGCATAATGGGATTTTTCGTACAGGTTCTAAAGATCGGATTCTCTATCTCACTTACATCGGACTCGGTAAACAGGTTGATCCTACTGGCCCCTTTGGATATCATCTCATGTCCTGAACATGTCGTTTGTTTGTTTGGTTGTAATCATGTAATGTTTGCAGTACATTCGTGTCCCAACACAACATTAGGTTGCTGACCCTTCTCTACATATGACTCGTCTATGATACTCCATATTATCATGAAAGATGGACGACAATTGCTTGGTCGCGTCCCGAACACGTTGTTTAGTTTTAGAAACTACTATATGTGCTTTGACAGCTTTCGAAATAGTCTTGTCTTGGTCAATGGATCGTAGAATGCGTCCCATATGTGGTCTCTCCTATAAGGCTCTCTGATCTTTAATAAATTATTTATTACTTATTGAACTGAAAACGGAATGTTTTATACTTTTTTATTATATGTTCTTCTTTGAGCCTTTAATTTCTCATTTCTGTATTATTATATATACGTGTCATAAGTGGAGGAACTTGATATTCCTTAAACGAGGTTGAATCTGTTGGGGTGGGGGGGGGGACCATATATGTGCCAAGTGCCAAGCCACGTGGCAATCCCTATTTGGTGTTGATCATTCTCTCGACCGCTAATCTTGGTGCAACTTTTTTTTTTTGTACATATATTTTTTCATTTTACTCATTTATTGTAGACATTCTTCTCAATATATACATGAGAAGGTATGTAGATTATTCTTGAATGCTTATATGTAAAATTCCAATTCCAATTAGTTGGATGATACACAAATAGAATGTTAAAAAGAGTTGCTTTTCGCATTGAATATGTTGATCTCTTTCAATTTCCCTTCTGGTTGCTTGTTTCTGCTATGTGTTTCAATGACAGGCATTATAAATCAAATCTATAATAATTAAATAAGTTCATATCCTAGAATAGTGAGGAGAACAAAGAGAAATAAGAAATATATAAAACCCAACTGATTTATATACTCGCGGTTTTATCCTTTTCTTTCATCTCATTATATTCTTGTTATAATATTATGCAAATTTATTGAAGACGTTGATGCAATTGCTGATGGTAACGTCTCAGATACACCTGGTTATCGATTGATGATATTCAATTACCACATTATTATTGTAATGATAAAACTGAATGGTGAGTATGCTTTTTTCTTTGGCACATAGACTTTGTATCAAAACTTGAAGGAGGCATGGGTGGTCCAAATTGAGATATCTGGGTTTCAGAACTCATATTGGATGAAAAAAATATTGTTGTATAATTGACTCAAAATTAATGTTAGGATATAAGCTGATTTTTTTTTTTCTGGCTTTTGTGCTTATTTAACAGAACATAAATACATTAAAAAAAAAGCTATTCAAATATAAATCATGTTAAGCTGCAACTTAAAAAAAGAATATCCAACCATTAATCATGTTACAATAATTGACTTTAACTTTAGTTTGCGAAACTTCAATTTTGCTAACTTTAAATCCAAATACACACTGATTATAGTAATATGTTTGGGGGCGAAATGTCGTCCTCAATCTAATAATTAAGTTGGTGTAACTATAATTTATATTAATAATTAATATGGTGAAAATTTATATGCAAATCAATTATTAGTGTTTGTGTCAAAAAGTTGCTTAAGAAGGTCTGATTATGTTGAAAATGAGGCTGACGGAAGCGCGTGTGAGATTGGGTGAGTAGATAACGTTCAATCCTATAAAGACAAGTCGATGGAGATCAAGAAGAACAATATAATTAAGGAAGTTACCAACGGTGAATGGCTTATTGGAAGAATTAATTGGTTTCAAATAGAGATAAATGACATTGCATAATATAAATAGCCGAACTGGTTAAATTAGTTTTGAATAATACTTGTCGTTGTTGTAATTTTTGTCGGTTCTCGAGGGTGTGAAGCAAGGTTTTGATATGTGCACATATATATATATATATATATATGTACATGGTTTTCAAAATTTGATGGATATGATATGATGATCAATTGGCGTGTCGTTGAAATATATCACTTTCTATTATTATGAATTTGTCGCCGCCAACGAGTTTTCAAAGTGATTTGGAGGACCCTCTTGATGGCCTCCACTTGTCGCCTGGTTTCAAGAAAATACACACTTATGATCAGTTGACGATGAATCTCAGACTCGTATAACGATCGATCACGGTAGCAGCTTGCAAACATGAAACATATATATATACATATATATATATATATATATATTATTAAATACTTTTTTTAAAAAATGTAATGTTTTTTTAACCGAATCTCCTATCAATAGAGTAGTTATCTACTTTTAAATTAATCCTATCTTTTTATATTTATCTCTGTTAAACAACTTACAATAAATATAAAGTCATTTATCAATAAAACACTTAAAAAAATAATAATTATATTTTAAAAAATTAAAAATATATTAATTTTTTTAATATTTAATTTCTTAAAAAATATTTTAGCGGAGTGAGTACCCAGCATGAGATGTGAGCATATGTATATTGAGATTCATCTTTCTTTCCTTTTCTTGGGGCGAGAAAAGTTTTGTCATTACATACTATTAGCAGTACTTCATTTCGAAAGCATGTCAAAAAGTTTCTTCTAAGCATGGCGTGTTCATCCCTCTCGCCTCTTTAATATATAATCTTAGGTAACATTCCTCATTTTTGAAGCTTTATAAAAATCAAACTTTAAATAAACTACTCTTGCCTCTATGGAAATAACACTCATGCTTTTGGTTTTGTTTTTTGTTTTTAAATATATATGCACAATAACTTAAAAAGTTCAAGAAATTTATATACACACTACTCTTGGTCTGTAATATAAGATCAAGTTAATCAGTTTCACGTTTATTAAGAAATAATAGTTATACCCTTAAAATTATTAAAGTTATGTAGCTTTCAAGTTTATCTTTCTATGCAGTTAATACAATAAATTATATGTTAGAAATTGAAACGGCAATAAATAAATAAGAGATACATTTAACAAATAATTACTTTAACATCGTTTTACATCAATGACAAAAAATATATTTTATATTAAAAATTGGAGGGAGTGCAATTTAAAGTTTGTTTGGTTGAGGAAAAGAGAGGATATATAGACCCTTGTTTATATAGAAGAAAATGAAGGGGAGGGTTTTGGAAAAAAAATACTATCCTCTTCTTTCCATTAGCATTAAAGTTGAGCTTATATTATACTCCCTCCGGTCCTATTTATAAGTCATTTCTACCAACCTCATCAATACCAATACAATAAAAGTACAAAGAATAAAAGTAAGTAAAATTCCAAACATGCCCCTATATAACAAATCTAAAAAGTAATGTCCTGTTACTTTTTCTCTCTCATGAAGGGTAATTTTAGAAATACCTCTCAAATATTACCTAAAAAGACACACCGTGACTTATAAATGAGACCAAATACACCTTCTAAAATTGGACTTATAAATGAGACTGGAGAGAGTACATACATAAAAGTAAAGTGACAGAGTGTATAGTTTTTTTTAAATTTTTTACCAGTATATAGGCTCAAAATTCATGGAAGCACTTTTATGTAATGTAACCTAAACTTCATATAAAAATATAGAATTAAAATCCTGATATAGATACTATATGTACGTTACTTATCGAATCGAAATATTGCAGTAAATAGTAAATCCATAGAGGATGCTATATATACAATCCGCTTCGGCTGGGAAAAAAAAAACATGCAGAATCGGCGCCAACACTGACATGACATGCTTTATTTAACACACGGTCCTCCAGAAATGAAGAAGCATTGGATGAAAACTCGTCATTTTGTGCACTTCCCAATGTAGGTTGCCGTACCGTCATATTCTCTGACTCTGACAGGGACTGGAAAATATCGGAAAAACATTTTACAGAGCCAACTCAGCCCTCAGCAGGAGTAGTGGCGCTAATTTGTAAATATCACAAAATATCAGTCATCGCTCTGTAAAATAGACCCGATAACAAGGATCCCAGAGGCGCCAAAGGGCATGCTCACCGGTCATTGCCCTGGCTACGGTTGTGGATCGGGTTCGAGATCCTTAACCCAAACCTGGATCCAAAAACGATGCATTTCAAACGAAAAGTAAAGCACCAAATACGCAGAGAGAGCGAAGCAATGGCATGGCATTAAACATGATTGTTGTAGCAGAGAGGGAGGCTTGAATTGTTTGATTACTTCGTCGACACCTACGCTTTATCCCCCTTCTTTCTCTACTCTCTTCGCTCCGAAGTCTTTCTCCTTCTCCCTCTCTTTGGCTGAGGGTGGGGCTACGCCATGGATGGCTTTCTCGAGCTTCGTAATTGGACAATTCTGAGTCCCTCATTGTGAATTCCCCCCCTCATTTTGGCAATTTTGTGTTCGGATTTTTTTTGCCTTGTTTGACATGGAGGCTTTGATCGAGCTGTGCGACCTCATTGCGCAGAATCCAGCGCAATTCTCTGATAAACTGTCGTGGATATGCGGCAAATGCCCGTCCCCCGAATCCCTCTCGTCGGGATCTCCTAGGGTTTCCCGTTCTCAACTCCATGCCATCCTTGTTGTGGCCCGTTTTTTATCCAAGTGCTCCGATTGCAGCGATCTCCGTCCCAAGTCTGTCGTTCTTGAGTTTCTACGGTCAATTCCTCATTCTTTCGACCAATCATTTTGGCCGCAATCGTTTAATGGTAATTCCATTGCAAGTTTCTTTGTGGATTTCTTAAGTTACGTGATGAAAGCGACTGAATTGTCGCCAGAGTTTGCTGACGACGTCGCTGAGTTCTCAGGAGAAGTAATCATATCGGCGATTGGCCGGGGGGGTGAACTATCGGGTATTGCTAAGGCTTTTTTGGTCGCTTTGTCGCAAAACTTTCTTCCCATTTCCGCTCCGGATGCGAATAAACTGGTTACTTGTCTTATTGATCAGTTTGCTTTCCCGATCCCCGTCACGGGGGCGCCAATGGAACATATTGGGGTGAACTCGGAGAGTTCTTCGTCCCAGAGCTCTCCTCTGAATGGAAACCACCATTCTCAACCCAATTCTATTGCAAGCCCGGGGAATTCTACTAGCAGTGCAGCTTCTAAAGCTGCAGATGATGCTAGCACTGCCTCGTCAAGAGCGTCAGTGATGAATGGGGACCGCAATTTGTGGTTAAGTAGTGCCGATCAGTTGACCGTGAACTTGGGTTTACACGATGGTGGTGTCAGTGGCACTTCGTCAGGACTGCAAGTTGCCTCCTTCGAGGAAGAGTCTGTGGGGAGCTTGGAGAAACAAGAAATAGCCTTTAAATTGATAGGGCACATACTGGATAAGGTCCAAATTGATCCAGGGCTTTTGGAGCAGGTTGGGTTAGTTGCAAAGAAGCAGATTCAGTCCATGACCGTTTTCCTAAGGGTAATATCTTTCTGATCGTGCTCACAATGCATTTATATTTTTCTCTGTTCTACGCGTTGATGTGATCATAAAGTATATTTTAAATCTACCGGATGATAGAAGTATATTCATGTTGGTTGTATCTGCAGATAAGGAAGAGGGAATGGAATGAGCAAGGGTCACTTCTAAAAGCCAGAATCAATACCAAATTATCAGTCTATCAAGCTGCTGTAAAACTGAAAACCAAGAGTCTCTCATTACTGGATGCTGATGGGAAATCTGTCAAGAGATTAGTTTATGGGGCAGTTGCGTTATTGATTGATGCTGCTGAGGCATGCTTACTCTCTGTGTGGCGGAAATTGAAAACTTGTGAAGAGCTCTTTGGTTCCTTGCTTCTGGGTGTAGCAGAAATTGCTATTGCCAGGGGAGGTCAGCCATTGCGTATCTTGCTCATTCGTTTAAAACCAATTGTTCTGACTGTTTGCGCACAGGTGCAACCTTTTCAGCTTTCAAATATGCATTTAATTTGGCATTTGATAGTATGAAGTTTTGTCATTTATTTATTTTTTAACTTTAAAATGTTAGCTTTACAGGCTGATACATGGAGTGGCAGCCAAGGGGCCATGTTTGAGAGTGTCACCAAGGCAAGTGGTCAGATAATTGAATCTTGCTGGTTGAAGGAACGGGCGCCTGTAGACACATACATCATGGGATTAGCTGCAAGCATCCGTGAACGAAGTGATTATGAGGAACAGGTTCATATAATAAATAACGATTACATATCCAAAGGATAAATAAGAATATAGTTGTGTCTGTATTGTGCTGTTCATGATTTTAAGGAATTAATTGTTATAAAACTTTCAAGTTGATGTGTGTATAATGCATATTTTTGACATTCCTATATATTTTAACCTTAGAATGTTTAAGGTTTGTGTTTTATAATGCTTTAACATTTATTCCCTTGACACTCATGCATGCAATTGTTTCCTTTCGTTGCTCTGATTTGAGACGGATTCAAATTTTAACGGTGGTCACATCCATATGCAGCAGGTTTGACCTGTTTAATCAGCATCATATTTTGTGCTTATTAATATCTTTGTGTTCATTCACGCTAACTTTATCTATTCATAACAATTTATGTCATGTGCATGCTTATAGTGTTTCCTTGTCTGTTAGGAAACCAGGGAGAAACCTGCAGTTCCTTCTGTACAGCTTAATGGTATACGCCTGCTTGCTGATCTGACTGTTGCAGCCAGCAAGTCTGAACTGGTAGACATGATATTGCCTCTTTTTATTGAAAACTTAGAAGAGGGTGACGCTTCAACTCCCAGTTTATTGAGACTTCAAGTATGGAATTTTGACTCCATCGCATGGATTTTGATACTCATACAAAATTCTATTAGTATACTGTTTATCATCCCTTGTGATCCATTATCTGTTTACTCTCAAGATTAAATGGTGCAAATTTGACGTTGTTTTTGCTGTAACCCTTTCAGCTTCTTGATGCTGTGTCTCGAATGGCAAGCTTAGGTTTTGAGAAGTCTTACCGAGAAACAGTTGTTCTGATGACTAGGAGTTATTTAAGTAAACTTTCCAGTGTTGGATCAGCTGAGAGCAAAACAGAAGCATCTGAGGCCACAACAGAGCGTGTTGAAGTATGTTTTATAATGTCAATCACACAGTAAACTTTGAGTTGCTTGATGTAACTCTTCATCAAATGGATTCTCACTAGTTCAATTACATTCTAGACTCTTCCTGCAGGATTTCTTCTCATTGCTAGGGGTCTCAGTGATACTAGGTTGCGTTCAGATTATCGTCATCGATTGCTCTCCTTGTGTTCAGATGTTGGTTTGGCTGCTGAGTCCAAAAGCGGAAGGTAGGCCTATTTTTCTGCTGAGCACATGGCATATGTTTCTTGTGATTTCTTGATAATATTTGTAATGAAGTCTGCGATTAGAATTTGGTTAGATCCTTTATTTAAATTTTATGTTAAATTATACATTCTGAAGATTTCACATCTTATGCCTTTGTGCTATACAGGAGTGGAGCAGATTTTCTGGGTCCCCTGCTTCCAGCAGTTGCTGAGATATGTTCTGATTTTGATCCTACATTAAATGTGGAACCATCACTTTTGAAGTTGTTTCGAAATCTATGGTTTTATGTTGCTCTTTTTGGCTTAGCACCTCCGATACAGAAAATTCAGCTGCCTTCCACAAAAACTGTTTCCAATACCCTTAACAGTTTGGGAAGCATGGGTGCTCTTGCTCTGCAGGCTGTAGGCGGACCATATATGTGGAATATAGAGTGGTCTTCTGCTGTTCAGCGTATTGCTCAAGGGACTCCTCCACTAGTAAGTTGATACTAAGACATCATCATTAGCACTTGTCGATAAACAGTTTTTTTCCTTCTCAATGTATGTTAAGTTATTATGTTTTGGTATCTTGCCAAATTATTTTTGCACGGTATTTTTGTCCTTCATAATCAAGTGGGATTGTTATGTCATTTGGTTATCCTGGACTTGTTACCAGTGCTATATTTTATTGGGAGTTGATTTGAGCGACGTTATCTTTGTTGGTGGCTTATGCTTGTTTTAATCCTTTGCTTGTCGTATAACAGATTGACTTTTGTTATTTGTATGTTTGAAGTTGTGTAAGAAGAATTTGCCTTTCTGTGTTTTTTGTGTTTATCCTCAGAAAGATAAAGATCAAACTGGCTGCTTTGGAAATTCATTCCATTGAATGCATGCATACTTTCATTGGATGGATCTACAGAGGGATGGGATTGGAAGTTGGAACTATGTGAATTGATCATGAATGGCATATTTTCGAAGCATGACATGCAAGCATTGAAATCAACCACTTGATACTTCACAATTTGTTAACCCTGTTGGTTTTAAAGTTTGATTTATGCAACTGGAAGGATTGTTTTTCAAGCATTGCTAGAGTCTTATGATTTGAAAGTTGATTTGCAATTAATGAGAGTGGGTGTAGCCATTGTGCACCTTTGATATCACTGTTTTTGAGGTTACATAATACTTACTCTTCTTTCTTGATCAGTAGTATGTTATGGCTTACAATACTTTAATAACCTTTAATGCAAGGCAAACTTATGTAAACTGATATTAGAGATTGCAACCATTTAGTTCCGTAGTAATTCTAATGTACTTGCGCCATTACCCCTAAAATATTTTATTATTTGGGGAAAGCTTTGGCATTTACGGATCAGTCATTATTTATTAAAAAGGCAATGTGTGTGTGTGTGTGTGAGAGAGAGAGAGAGAGAGTTCGTACCATGACTGGTAAGAACCTTGAAACCTGTGATTAAATGCTTTATAAATACTTTGAAAATACCTTGAAACTGTTGATAAAATGCTTTTATACTTTAAAAATATCTTTTGGATTATGCCATCATATGGTTTTTTTCTTTGTTATTCTTTTTGACTCCTTGAAATTCAGTGCGATTAATTTTATATGAATCTCTATCCTTAAGAGAACTTGTCATTTTTGCTATAAAAATAGAACTCCTTAGCGACTATACAGATAAGATTAAATTCAGTGGCATTCTTATTGTCTCCCCTTGTTTAAGTTAATTTAAATCAGCCTAAAGCTTTCCTTCAACATCTCTTTGTTCTTGTCAAGGTTGTTAGCACTGTGAAATGGCTTGAGGATGAATTTGAACTGAATGCCCTGCACAACCCTGGAAGTGGCAATGAGAAAGCTGCTCTTGCTCAGAGAGCTGCCCTTTCTGGAGCTTTAGGGGGGCGGGTTGATGTTGCAGCAATGACCACAATCTCAGGTTGATAGCATTAACTTCTCATTTATTGTTTTTGAAAATCTATGAATCACTTGCATTTGGTAGAGGTTTTGCTTTGTTTTAAGCATGTACCAGATCCTCCTGCCTTCACTCGTAGCACTCCTGCATTCAATTTCAGACACATTTCAATTTTGAACATTACGTTTAAGTAAGATGATGGTTCTTGTGCTGCAGACATTTCAGGAACTTTTTGAGTCATGTGCAGAATATATCATTGGACAACTTGTTTAGGCCTTTTGCTTTTGGCATGCATTTTGTTGAATAATTATTTGTTACACGATATGCCTCCTTTGATGAACTTAATATATTTAGATTTAAATTTTAAACATATTATAACTCATCTATGTTTTTTGTTATTAAAAAAAAATGTGAATTTATAAATAAAATTATTATTATTATTATTATTATTAGACATGACGTGACCTCTTTTTAACATATTCCTCCACTGTATGCGAGGGTCTGTTAATGAAAATTTATATGTGCTGTCCTTGTTCGTCTTAACAAATAATATTATCATCATACTCAATTTTAAATGTTGGTTAAAATTTCTTTGTTCTGTATGATAAATGTACACACCATGTCTGAACTTCTATATTCATTTTTTCCTGATGTTAAATATAATGATCTTTTGCTCTTCATTGTGCAGGAGTGAAGGCTACCTATCTTCTTGCTGTAGCTTTTCTGGAGATAATCCGCTTCAGCAGCAATGGTGGTATCCTAAATGGTGGCAGCGCTATGACTGCTTCTAGAAGTGCCTTTACATGTGTCTTTGAATATCTTAAGACTCCAAATCTAATGCCTGCTGTCTTCCAGTGTTTAATAGCAATTGTCCACAGGGCTTTTGAGACTGCTGTTGCATGGCTGGTAGGTATAGTTTTGGCTACAATTTGCTGTAAAGCTTAAGCTGGCTGACTGGAAATTGAATCAACTAGTAAAATTGAAATGTGTTCGAATCACCAATGTTGCTCTTTATGTGCACTGATGTGGACCATTGAACCTCATCTAGACATGTTTTTATGAAACTTAGATCCGGGAGGAGTTATATTGCTACTCTGGTTACCAATTTTATAAATGTCTCACTGATATGATCACATCACCTCGGTAGCTTAAGCTTATAGGGAAAAATGCTTGATTAATTTTTGTAATGGATTTTTTTTCCTTTGCTCTTTGCTTCTCATGCAATATGCTTAGGAGTTATTGGAAATATGCTACAGGAACAAAAAAGTTATTCACCACTATAAGTAATATAGTTGTCATTTTGCAAACCGATCATTGAAAATTATGCTTATGTTCTTTAAGTCAGTAGATTTTTAATCTACACCTCCACTTGGCTCACACATCATCTCAAAATTTTTAATGAGTGTTCTTTCTTCTTTTTTTATTTTCACTGCTTACTTTTTCTATAGGAGAAATAGTATACCTGTGAGCAAAATTGATAATGGCGTGATGAACAGTGTGTCAAGTTTTGCAAATTTAAATCATATAGAGAGCAAAAATGTTTCTTCTAAATGCACTTTCAATAGAATGTATGTCCTAGAGCTTGCCCATCGATGCTCAAAGCTTGTTTAACCTGTAACCAGATAGTGAATAATTTGTTGTGGAATAACTTTATTTGATTATTTCTATAATTTCCATCTGGATCAACAGCAAAATATTAGGTCTTTTTAGCAATCAGATGATTGTTAGATATATATATATATATATATATATTTTAATCTAGACCATGCATATCCAATCCAAAGATTGTGTTGTGCTCTCCCCTTTCCAAGGTTTAGAGTCTAGTGCCCTCATTTGAGCACATCTGTTTCTGTTAAAAGTAGGTAACCTTGTATAATTTGCTGTTTATTCATCATCAGTGTCTTTGCTTTACACGGCATGAAGATGACTGCTGCTTTGATCTGGCTTCAGGAAGATCGAGTATCTGAAACGGGCCATGAAGCTGATGCCAGGGACTCAGCCCTTACTGTCCATACTTGTTTTCTAATCAAAAGTCTGTCCCTGCGGGAGGAGCCTATTCGAGATATTGCTGTGAACTTGTTGACTCAACTTAGGGATAAGTTTCCACAGGTAAATTTTTGAGTGGTTTTTTACAAATGTGATTGGGTGTGAATTTATTTATTGAATGCCACCTTCAAATCCTTTTCTTAAAGTCTCCTCGATATTTCAGATTGAACTATATTCTTGCAGGTCTTATGGGATTCATCCTGTGTAGATTCATTGCTATTTTCATTTTATAACGACTCTTCATCTGCTGTCATCAATGATCCTGCTTGGACAATGACAGTCCGTTCCTTGTATCAAAGAATTGTTCGAGAGTGGATCATTAAATCACTTTCAAGTGCTCCTTGCACTAGCCAGGGCCTTCTTCAGGTTGACATGAGCTCTTTCATTGATTAAATAATTTAAATTACCAAAATTTCTGTCACCTTTCACCAGTATATTAACATCTTGGGCAAGTAATTTTCTCTGAAGGGACTAACTTAAAGCGTTTAACTGTAGAGGGACTGACTGACTCTCTCTCCTTTACAGCATGAATAAAAGCTGTTCATTTAGAATTGAAATTTGCTTTGGCCAAAAAAAAAAAGAATTGAAATTTCCTTTCTTCTTTCTTTTTTAATGGCATGTCAAATGTATATAGGGTGAATTTTATAGAAAGTTTCAGTTGATATCTTTCATTATCTAATAAATTTGTTTGCATCTTACCTCTGATTGGTTACCCTTGTTTGCACTTTTCTTTTCTTGACTTTTTGTGGTAAGTATGATCTAGAAAGGCTATTCCATTACTACAATAAGCCTTGTCCCACTAGGTGGGGTTGTGTTATAGCTGGTCTATGTTAGGCCCTACAATAGCATGCAAGGCCTATCTATGTTTGCAGCTGGTCCTAAGTCTGAATAAAGGAGGAGGGTTGTGTTAGACCTCAATGGCCAAGTGTTAGACCTCAATGGCCAACACAAAACTTTGTTAAATCTCACATGAATGTGGACAATAAAGGTTGTTCCATTTCTATTTAAATTTAGTTCTGAAATCAGTCCTACAATAGCATGTTGTTTTTTTGCAGTGCTTAACATCTTTCCATTTAGATTGTTGCTACAAATCACTTTCCATTTTAAATTTTTACTGGGAGCTGTTTTCAAAATTATTATTAGTCAATTCCTTCAGGGGCTTTGTATTTTAATCTCCATTGACATGTTTCACTTCAGGATAAACTTTGCAAGGCAAACAACTGGCAAAGGGCACAGCCCACTACTGATGTTGTTTCACTTTTGTCTGAGATACGGATTGGCACTGGGAAGAATGACTGTTGGACAGGCATACAAACAGCAAATATACCGGCAGTCATGGCTGCTGCGGCTGCAGCTTCAGGAGCAAACTTAAAACTGTCAGAAGCCTTTAATTTAGAAGTTCTCAGTACTGGCGTAGTGAGTGCAACAGCTAAGTGCAACCATGCTGGAGAAATTGCTGGCATGAGAAGGTTGTATAACAGCATTGGCGGTTTTCAAAGCAGTACTGCACCAACTGGTTTTGGGCTTGGTGGGCTTCAAAGAATTATATCTGGAGCTTTTCCTCAACAGCCACGGGCTGAAGATGATGCATTTAATGCAATGCTGCTTAATAAGTTTGTACGTTTGCTTCAACACTTTGTTAACATAGCAGAAAAAGGTGGGGAGGTCGATAAGTCTCAATTTCGCGAGACTTGTTCTCAGGCTATTGCACTTCTTTTGTCAAATTTGGTAAGCATAATTCTTATGGGTGTTGCTATGTCAAAATTGTAAGCAATCATGTAGCTTTGTCTGAGATATAATTTTTTTCCTTTTGGACAAAGGGTTCTGAATCTAAATCAAATGTAGAGGGCTTCTCGCAACTTCTGCGCCTTCTTTGTTGGTGTCCTGCTTATATTTCTACTCCTGATGCAATGGAAACTGGTGTTTTCATATGGACATGGTTGGTTTCAGCTGCCCCTCAACTTGGGGCTCTTGTCCTTGCTGAGCTTATTGATGCTTGGTTATGGACAATTGACACCAAACGGGGTCTTTTTGCATCTGAAGCAAGGTTTGCTGGGCCGGCTGCAAAACTGAGGCCTCATCTTTACCCTGGGGATCCTGAAGTGCAGCCTGAGATTGATCCTGTTGAGCAGATAATTGCTCATCGACTATGGCTTGGATTTCTTATTGATCGCTTTGAGGTTAGGAGTTCTAACCCATGCTATATTCTCATCTTTGTCAACTTATCTTTTCTGGCACCTTCACTTGTTATTGAAAGTTTATCTTCAAATCTGGAACAGCTTGTTGAAGGCGGGGAATGTTTGATAGTTATTTTTGAAAATATTAAAGTAAGATTGTTTACTTTTGTTGCATTCCTTTTTAGTTCATTTGTGAATTCAGTGAAATCGCCAATTTTAAGATGTGATATGAATTATGATTTTGAGCCTTGAGCTGAGTAAGTTTTTCTTTAAAACATGACTCCATGCTAAGTGGATATTCTTTGTTGATCCTTCTTATTCAAGCATTATCTGGTGGTATCAAAACTTTATTTTTCTTTACGAATGGTATATATTGCCAAAATCTATTGAAAATTTCTGCCTAATATATTGTGATCTAATATTACTTTGATCCTGCTTCTTCAAACAGTGTTCTCTTCTGAATCTTCTAATGAATACTGTGGTGGTTCTTTACATTCTAATTTTTTTAATTTTAAATATATGGGAAACTATTGATTGCATCATTATTTTCTTGTGGTAAAATTGTGTTAGCTTAGCTAAATGAAATTACAAATGTCTATTTATTAATTCTATGTTTGGTTCCCTGGTGCATGCCATTTTTTGTTTTTTGTTGTTTAGGTAATTCGGCACCAAAGTGTGGAGCAACTCCTACTTCTGGGTCGGATGTTACAGGGGACAATAAAAAATTACTCAATCTTTACTCGCCACCCTGCAGCCACTGGTACCTTTTTTACTTTCATGCTCCTAGGTCTCAAGTTTTGCTCTTGCAAGTTCCAGAGCAATCTACATAACTTTCAACTTGGGATTCAGCTGCTGGAAGATCGGGTTTATCGGTAAACACGAGTGACTCTTATTGTTTACCTTTTGCACTTATTCTAAATTATTCTATTTGTGTCATACTATAATTCTGGTATTGTAATAGGCTTCAGTAAATTTTATTAAGTTGTTTGCTTTCTTGTTTTAAATGAAGCATGCGTGCTGCTAACACATGCTACGGTTCATAAAATGTGATCATGAACAATATTTTAGTTCATCTCATCACTCCTACACAAGGTTTTTAATTCTATTACCTTCATTAATTTGAAAAAATCCCTGAAACTGTGCAACTGAGACCGACTTCAATTTTAGATTGTCAAAATTTTTATGCATGTTAATGTGCTCCTTAGAACTTAGGTCAAATTTATGAAGAATGGGCAAATGTGAGGCATGTGTATTGTTTGCATGTGGTAAAATATGCATCCCATACATCCCAATCTTCTTGCTGTGCTGTCATGTTCTAGGGGTCTATGCATGACTTACGACTAAAGATATGGTTTGACTGTGCTGTCATGCCTGGGATTGTCTTCTTAGTCTGTGTTTCATAGCTTTCTTGTGTCACCTTAGAGTCCCTTTAAAGGTTGGTGGTTGTCTCGATGGTTTATGGTGGGTAAAAGGGTATTGACCTTTCAAAATGTGGGGAAACGCAGCATGGCAGGCCAACAATCTGTTTTTGTTGATTAATCATGTCTAAACGTGGGCTGCATACCTCTTTTTTTTCTTCCATTTTTCTTTCCTCCTTATTTTCTCTTGCTATCTGAACAAGGGAAAGCTATTTTCCCTCCTATTTTCCTCTACTAGTTTTCTTTCCCCCTACTTTTCTCTCCATCTGAACATAAGATAAATTATTTTGTTGGTTGATTATGCATAACAAAATGTTATTTGTTATTGACTATTGATAACAACGTTATACTTTATTATTTTATATGAATATTTTATGCTATTTTACTTGACAAAATTGCTGTATCTCGTGGCCATACCTGTACCAATGCAACACTGGCTGGGATGGGTTAGACGTGTGTGAATGTGTCATGCCATCTCAGCCGCTGTACCTGCTACATGGAAGTCTTAAGGCCAAATCCTATGTTATTTGCTGTGTCCATTTGAAAATTTCAAGGAACCTGTGGTCGTAATTAGGATAAACAGTAGGGTAGTTTATCCCTGTTCTTCTCTTTTGTTTTTTTGTCCTTGAGTAACATTTATATATTTCATCATGATTTCAAATTCTTTATCAACTTACATTTTTTTGTTGTTGCAATTTTTGTAGTCATTAGTTGTTGAATATGTGGTTATTTTTGTTCTCCTTTGTATGGTTAAATTGATGTTGTTTCTTGGTGGGTGTTGCAGAGCCTCTTTGGGTTGGTTTGCATATGAGCCTGAATGGTATGACTCAAATTATGCAAATTTTGCACAGAGTGAGGCCCAGTCTGTTTCTCTATTTGTTCACCACCTTTCAAATGAGAGAGATGTTATCCAGAATGGTTCAAAAGGAAGTGGACAAGAAAATGGAAGCAATTTGGTGGATGCGGTAATAATTATATATGCAATGTTGAAATCGTAACACACGGATTTTTACATCTTTGTGTCTACTTCAAATTATTGTCTTTTATACTATTCAACTTCATTTTTAATGTCAGCACTGTTTTTTGCTGTGTATTTTCTAAACATTTGTGCTATTTTTCTAAAGATTTATTTGTGCACAGAATAATCAAGATCATCCTGTTTGGGGTCAAATGGATAACTATGCTGTAGGGAGAGAAAAATGCAGACAGCTACTTTTAATGCTTTGTCAACATGAGGCAGATAGGCTTGAGGTCTGGGCACAGCCAACAAACACAAAGTATATAAATATATACACCTTTTCTTATTGTAGAATGAATGGTATTTTTGTTTTTTGTTTTTTGAAATTCTTTTCTAGAACAATCTTGCCCACTACCTGTTCAATTTCAGGGATTCTGGTGTGCGACCCAAGATTAGCTCAGACAAATGGATAGAATACGCTAGGACTGCCTTCTCTGTGGATCCTAGAATTGCATTATCCTTGGCCTCGAGGTTTCCAACCAATGCTTTGTTGAAGTCTGAAGTAACTCAGCTGATTCAGGTATATTTCTTCCTCATGATCAATCTTGTAAACAAGAAGTCCTAATCAGTTGAATCATTGATTATTATTGGGATTGACTAAGTGGGTCAGAATGTGCTGTCATTTGAACAATTTTTTTTATTTATCTTGAAGGAAAGAAAGAGAAAAAGAACAGTTATTTGGAAGTCTGCCAACAAATTAGTTGAATTATTTTACAGCAGAAAATTATTTAATGTCTCCTCAGATGTTGTCAGTGCACCTATTGCTTGGCCAATGGCGGTCAATTTTGTCTTGTTCATTTGGTTTCAAGGAAGTTGAAGAATTACAATTTTTTTTTTTGGGGGGGTGGGGGGGTGGGGGGCCCTGTTTTATGAACAGATATGCTGGTCAGGAGAAAGCGTGAAATGAACGACCTTGTTCTCTGAACAATATTTTGAAAACTGTTTCTGGGGGCTTACCTTTTTCCTATGGCGTTGTTTTGGCTTTCTTTTGGTGCTGTGCATAAAGTTTCAGAGTGTCTGTTTGATAACTTTGTTACAAGTTTACTACTGTTTTACTCCTAAAGTCCTCTTCAGCATCTCTTTTTCTGAATTTTTTTTAATCAATGGAGAAAAAAAGACTAATTTTGAGTCACTGGTTGATATAAATTATCAGCATGATGCAACTGAAATGAGTGTTTTGAAACGTTAGCTGAGGTTTCCAAACGTTTTTTATTCTAATAGAATTCAAATATTCCTTTCCATAGTTTGAAATAAATGCTGCTTAGAATATGAGGAAGATATATCATCAGCCTTGGGTTATACTTGCTATCAGATGTTTTTTGTGATTAGGCCTTCACTGTTGGATGGGATTATCCTTGTTTACATCACTTCTTTTTCATTTCAGTATCACCTAGTTGGCACTCTTCATCGTCTAATTTGTCAACTTGCAAACTATGATATATTTGAGCCTTTTCTTTGTCAACTTGCAAACTATGATATATATGAGAGCCTTTTCTTTCCAGGAACATATATTGGATATGCGCAACATACCAGAAGCATTACCTTACTTTATCACCCCTAAGGCCATTGACGATAATTCAGTGCTTCTGCAACAATTACCTCATTGGGCTGCTTGTTCAATCACCCAAGCTCTAGAATTCCTTACTCCTGCATACAAGGGGCATCCCCGTGTCATGGCATATGTTCTAAGGGTTTTAGAGTCCTATCCACCTGAGCGAGTAACCTTTTTTATGCCACAGCTGGTGCAGTCCTTGCGATTTGATGACGGGGTTAGTTATCTACTTGAGTTTAACTTCATTGTTTACCCACTTTATGAATTGTTTCCTTCTACATTGAGTTTCTTCGAACCTCAACCCTCATTTATTATTCTTTGTCCACCTGCATCTCCTGCATATGTAAACCATGTTGGTTCGAAGTGAAAGATTAGGGGTATGAGCTGAATTGGATCAATTATCCATGAATTCTTCATGTTGAATCTCATTCACTTCATTACGGGTATCTGCATCTCATGTTGATTCTTATGGGATTTTTTTGTCATTTCCTTTTCCACTGCATTTCAAACTCACTCAGCTTTTTGGTGTCTTAATTCCATTCTCTCTCCATTTCATTCAGATGGTTCCTATGCTTCTTTCCACCTCCTGAAAAGTGTAGGTCACATGTCTTTTACATAACATGCTTAAGCTACTGGGTTACAAGTGGAAATCCTATATTTAGTTGAACATCTCATACTCATTTGGCTCATACTATTTTTAATGAAATTAACCTCCTTATAGGTTTTGCATTTATTCTCGTATCTGGCCGCTATTATTATTTGCAGAAATTAGTTGAGGGATATCTCCTCAGAGCTGCTCAAAGGAGTGACATATTTGCCCATATTCTAATCTGGCATTTGCAGGTATAATATGATTTTTAATTTGGATGTAATTATATTATGTTTTTCTATTTTTCTTACCCATATTTTTTCTCCTTATCATGTCAAACTGTTTGGTCAATATCTACTTTTTTGACTTGAGTTTTACGTTTATTATATAATATGCTGTCTGGTAATGAGTTTATTTTGGACAGGGTGAGACTGTTCCGGAGCCAGGAAAAGATCCTACCATGGCAAAGGTATTCTAACAGCTAACATCTCTGCTTTTTGTTTTGTTTTGTTTTTGTTATCATATACTGATGAAAATGCCATCCATATATCAGTATATGCCATCCATATAAAAAATATATGGATGGCATTTTCATCAGTATATGATAACAAAAACAAAACAAAACAAAAAGCAGAGATGTTTAGGAAAACAAAAATTTTAATTCCAAGTGCTTAAATTTTAGATAGACTGTATTATGCATTGTTTAGGAAAACCTGATGACATATCTGACTATTTACTTTTAGATTTAGCCTTCAGGCCAATAAGTATCTGACTATTTAGCTGCTGCTGACTTCAGAGTTACATTATAGGCGCAGTATGCACAATGCAATTAGAGATATTGAGATACAGGCTTAGTCATCCAACATTTGAAAATCAGTTAGGCTGACAATGGTATTATGAAGAATAATATGTTGTGGTGTCTTAACAGACAAAATGATGCTGCAATAAAATAATAAAGTCCATGATCATGGAACAGCATCAACATTACTGTTGCTACGCATTACATTTTCATCCTTTCAGATGCCCTGTTCTACTTATTCCTAAAAAGCTTCAAACTGGCACCACTTTATAAAGTAATACTGAGGATTATTTTATGATGTAAATTTACTATTTTAGTCTGTTTCCAACTAGTTGCTGAAAAGTCTGTATTTTTTTGTCCATGTATTTCAGAATGCTTCGTTTCTAGCACTGCTTCCAGCTGTAAGGCAGCGGATCGTTGATGATTTTAGTCCAAAGGCACGTGACATCTTTAACAGAGAATTTGATTTTTTTGACAAAGTTACATCCATCTCTGGAGTACTCTTTTCACTGCCCAAGGATGAACGTCGTGCTGGCATCCGAAAGTATGTTTGCATGTGTATTTATGTTTATATTTTCCGCATATTCCAAGATCTGGTTTTAATTTTTATTTTTTAAACTGAACTTTTGGTGTTTTTTAGATAGAAGTTGATGTTTTCTTGTACCATCCATGGTAGGGAGTTGGAGAAAATTGAAGTAACTGGTGAAGACCTTTATTTACCGACAGCTCCCAACAAGCTTGTTAGGGGTATTCAAGTAGATAGTGGAATTCCCTTACAGTCAGCTGCAAAAGTCCCTATTATGATCACATTTAATGTAATAGACCGAGATGGGGACGAAAATGATATAAAACCACAAGCTTGCATTTTCAAGGTTAGCTTTATCTTTTCTTTTTTAAAAAATAAAATCCACCCTAGGTTAAAAAATGTCTGATTTTTAATGTCAATTATATACTTCCCTTTTTGGCCTCTAATCAGTATTGAGAAGTACTGGATTACTATAATAAATTGATATTGTGTTTATTTGGGTGAGTTAATTTTTTTTTTTTTGGGCCAAGAGGAATTATTATTTTTTGTTAATTTTCTGTTTTTCTTTCTTTTTTGGGCTCTAACTACATCAGGTGGGATGTCTACATTAAGTTGGCATTAGAGCCCAACCTCAATATGCTTTCACTGTAGCTGTACCCTGAATTTGTGATTTTGTGACCTTATTTCCAAGCAACCCTGGACACCATTGAAAGCAGAACACCTTGATCTGCTGAAATTTGGTGTTCACGTTGCTAGAGAACACCCAAAACCATCAATTCTTACAAGAGACGGAGCCTGCACCAATGTCAAAGTTATTATCCTCTTGTTTGAGCATTTGTTTCAATAGATTTACCTTGCGAAGGCATTGAGCAAGGACTAAGTCTGCCACCAATGTTTTGTCTTGGATTGTCACCAGACATGAATGATGCTCCAGCATGGTTTCCTGTGCATTTTCCACTCCCTTTCTTCATAAGATATCATATAAACACTAATGGCTTTTGAGGATGAAAATTTTCTGTAATTATTACTGGCCTCCTTGCATAACTTATTTGATTATCTTGGAGCTCTTATTATAAATTACCCCATTTAACATGGAATGCTGATTGAACATAAGAGAAATGTACATAATAAGTGGTTACAGACTTCGAGCTGGAGGAATTGATTCTTTGGGCCTCTAGTTTATTCTTGTAATCTCTAGAGGAATGTGCTCCCTTTGAGATTTGATTTTTCTTGTACATGGACTGACATAATCTTATTTAAGGTTGGAGATGACTGTCGACAAGACGTTCTTGCCCTTCAAGTAATATCACTTCTCAGAGATATATTTGGGGCTGTTGGGCTAAATCTGTACTTATTTCCTTATGGTGTTCTTCCTACAGGTCCTGAGAGGGGTATAATTGAGGTGAGTTTATTGTTGTTATTCTGAAACACTGCAGTCTATAACCAGTATTCCATCATTGCTCATTTCTTTTGCACGTTTGGTGCAATATCTTGATACTTTTCTGTCTTATGAAATTTGAAAAATCTCCTTTTGACTGGTTGGTCTGTGTTAAATGTAAATGGTTTGTTGTTAAATATAGAATCAATCTGGGGTGCTGGTTGGTGTTTCAATACAAATATGAAAACATCATGTTGACCTGGCTGATAATTCGGGTATGGAAGTTGAAAGTGAAATTTGTTAAGGCGAGTTAGCTGATGTGCACCTTAAAATGATTATTATTATTTTACTTATAACCTGTATATTTTATAGTTGGGAGAAATATAGCATAGTTTGATGCAAATGAAGCTTGATTTGCACTTTACAGATTTTATATCTCTAAGAACTTGCATTGCAGTCCCAAGTTTGAGCTACTGGACTTTTTCCCATTTCATGTTATAAAGATTTCCTCTGCTCTCTTTATGGACTTCATGAAGTAAACAGCGGTGCTTGGGACTTGGGATCAATTATGCAGCCATAGAAGAATTGTAGATATTATGGCCTCTTTGGGTTGATCATAAATTTTTGTAAATTTTAGAACTTCTTGTGGAGTTTCATAAAAGGCATCGTAGCAAATAAGTAATGATGTCCCTCTTCAGGTCTCTTTATAGACTAGACTTTATTTTGGTCCCTAATGTTATTTTTATTTATTCTAGTTATGTAACACCATTAATCTCACTGACAGAAAATACTGATGTGTCGAAGAAATAAGAATGCATTTTGGGAGACTGACAACAAAGTCCCAAAATAAGGAATTTATGATAATTAAGTCCCTGACAAAATTTTCTGAAAAATAAGTTTCGAATATTGATTTAAACAGTTGCAAGCAAGAATCTCAATTGCAAATTGAGAATTATATTTAAAATTTAAATGTTCTACTTTCAATTAGAACTCTTGAATTTGCAGCTACCTGAATCAATATTTATAATTAAATTTTCAAGAAATTTTATTGAGGACTTAATTATTATAAATTCATTATTTTGAGACTTTAATGTCATAATCCCTAAATTTTTTCTTCTGTTTCTCTTGTTATGACTGCCCAACATTTTCATGGATTTGTAATTCGTAATTCCTTTATGCCTTTTCCAGGTCGTGCCCAATACCCGAAGTAGAAGTCAGATGGGGGAAACAACTGATGGTGGTTTGTACGAGATATTTCAACAAGATTATGGGCCTGTTGGCTCTCCCGGTTTTGAAGCTGCACGTGAGAACTTCATCATTAGCAGTGCAGGTTATGCTGTTGCCAGTCTTCTGCTTCAACCAAAGGATAGGCACAATGGGAACCTGCTCTTTGACAAGTAAGATCTTCCTTTCATGACTTTGTTAGCAAATTTGGGTTGAAATTGCTGATGGATTTTAACTCAGTTGTTGGCTCTCTAAGATTGAATATTATCTTGTATGGTCTTCGTGATAAATATTCTCATTTTCTGCCTTTAGTTTTTAACATTGTCACTAATATGCGCTTGCAGCGTGGGGAGGCTTGTTCATATTGACTTTGGTTTCATTCTGGAAACTTCTCCTGGTGGTAATATGCGGTTTGAAAGTGCACATTTTAAGTTGAGCCATGAGATGACACAATTACTAGATCCATCTGGGGTTATGAAAAGTGATACATGGAACCAATTTTTGAGGTAGTTATTTTGTTTACAACTTATTCTCCTCCTTATCTGTCTTGAACACACGTTAACATATCAAAACCTGATTCACCCCCCTCTCCATTTGTATACGCAGTCTCTGTGTAAAGGGGTACCTAGCTGCTCGACGTCATATGGATGGAATCATCACTACAGTGGCATTAATGCTCGACAGTGGACTACCTTGCTTCAGCCGGGGCGATCCAATCGGCAATCTTCGGAAGAGATTTCATCCTGAGATGAGCGATCGAGAGGCGGCCAATTTCATGATCCATGTTTGTTCAGATGCTTACAACAAGTGGACAACTGCTGGCTATGATTTGATACAGTATCTGCAGCAAGGCATTGAGAAGTAAGAGAATCAACGGCAGAGTTGATCTAACATGTACATGGTTGCTTGTAATGTTAACTGTCATTGTTTTCTTATAGCTATGATTTTTTCGAGGAATTTCCACGCCTATGGTAATTTAAGAGTGAATGGTAAAGGCAGACGAAGAATTTGAAGTTTTGTAATTTAGTGGATGTTCCTCGTGATGTAAAGATACTTTTGTAATCTTGTTTAATGGTAAATACAGTTTATTGCATTGATGTGAACAATTTTGTACGCCAAAACGAACATCCCAGGAAATTCTTCAATTCACTCCCCTATGAAGGGTGTTATGTTGTCCGGACAAGAATCTAGGGCTATCTGGTCAAATCTTCGTCATAAAAAGAAAAGAGTCAACAATAAAAATGGTTCCATTAGGATAACGAGGGAATGGTTCATAAAATGAAAATAGATGCATTATCCATCCATATTTTCTCAATTCAATAGCGAATTCGATGGTCCCTTTGATAAGTGAGAAAAGCTTAGAGGAGGTAGAAGAAATGATGTTCATGAATACCCACACTCACTATGCTTTTGTTTATTATATTTAGCAACAATAATAATAATTTACAAGAGGATTAGGTCAAGCAAAAGATGCTAGTTTCTCATAATAGGATGAATTAAAGTTTGAGTCCATTTTAAGAGGTGTCTACATATGGTATCTGACTATGTGTTCAATAGGAAGATATCTATGAGTAATTAAAAAAATAATAATAATTCCATTTTATTAATAATTGCACTGATATTATTTTTGTTGTGTTTAAATTTATTTTATTTTTTTGGGTCACATCAAATAATATATTCTCTTTAATCTTACATATATGTCATTTTGTAGAGAAAAAAAATTGATAACCCTTCTTGTAAGTCACTTTGCATGAAAAGATAGACATTTAATTACCTTCTTCCAACTTTGTCATTTCACTTTTTTTTTTTTTGTGTAAAGTGGTTTTAAGTAATTTAAATAAATAGGATTTATATCTTTAAATTTAAAAAACTTCATTTTTTTTAGGAAAAAGAAATTAATAGATATAAACGCACAATAAAAACTTGATAAATATACACTAAATCATAAAAATATTAAAAAAAGGCCTTTTCTTTTTTTTTTTTTTCCTTTTAGATTAAAAAAGTCAACTTCATTTCTTATTTTAAGGGCAAGGAGCAATCACATTACATCGTGCCAGGAGAGACAGGTAATGGGACCTTGCTTGTTTAATTAATTAATTAATGGTCCTATTTTATCATTTAGAGGTGTTTTTTGTCCAGTTGCTGATAATATAATCACCTTGGCAAACGAATAGTTTTACAGCTCAACAGCATAAAAATAGGTGTCTCAAAATATAATTATTTTTTCATGTTATAAACTTTAAAAAAAGCATAATTAAAAGCATGGAACTTTGCTTGACAAATTCCCTATTGGTTTGACCATGTAAGCAAGATTCCAAATCTTTCACCCTTAAAATTATTTTGCTTGGCGGTGTTCCTCACAAGTTTCGAGGTCTTTAAACCATGTCGGCCAAATTGCACAGGAAAATCCAGCTATTGGAATTGATATAGTAAACTCGTTCTTAGAGGTGAGACACTGTGCTCATTGGCAAGTTTAAAATAAATGGACGACTTGCTAATATTATATTAACTACAATGTTAACAAATGAATAGAAGATGCTAACAACGTACATGATACACACATACACATATCCTCTGCATATAGCAAATATTTTTTTTTTATTCTATTATTTGGTATTATGAAAAACTTGAGTATTATCACCTCCCGTCCACATTAATCAGAATCCTGCTACGTGAGATTGTTATTATCAATAGCAACTTTTTGAGTAGGAGTGAAAATAAACTAGGCTGAATAAAACTTTAACTATATAAGCTTCAATATGTATGATAAGATAGAAGTCTAAAATTTATATAAGGTTTTTTTTTACAACTCAAACTTAAACTTATTTAAAACTTGGTCTAATTTGAAAACTTATTTAAAAGCTTACTTAAAAGTGAGCATTTTAAATGGGTTTATATATTAGTTTTAAACATCTCAAATATATTTTAAAATTATTAAAATATATATTTATATAACATAATTTATCAATTTTTAAACAAGCCTTGTATAAATATAGCCTAGCTTATTTAACTATAAGCCTAATCAAAAGTATGAACTTGATCTCAACTTATTTAACAAATAGTTTAAACTGAGCTTAAAATAAGTTAAGCTATAGATCCCTAATAAGAGCTTGATTTATTTTCACCTCTATTCATGAGTATCTTAAAGATATCTTTACCATATTTATATGACACAACTGTACAGTCTAGGACAATATTTTACATGTACATACACATTATATGTGTGCGCGAGAGAGAGTGGCAAGTAACTTATAATCATTCGTCTGGAAAAGCTAACACTTGTGTAGATTGGTTCATAAATTAGATACTGAGAAGAGTTATGGAAATGCAGAGGCATGAAAAATGAAGATCCCGTTTTTTTATACTTGACCTTTGAGTTCTCTTTTCTCAGCTTTTGCCTCTCCTTAAAAAAAAAAAAACAAAGAAAAAGGAGCAAAAGGAGAAACTATCCGTTTATTTTAAGAAGAAAGTGTTATGTAATAAGTAACAAAAATTAGTTCAGTTAACGAGAATGTGACTTATATTTTATAATACTATGAATTCAAGTGTTTTTACCAATATGAGGATTTTACTGCTAAATAATTAGTGTATACCATTCTAAATATAACGTCATTTTAATTCTACTTATTGCAGGTCATCAAATAGTGTCGAACTTACTGGAAAATAGAGCTCTTACTTTTAAGCTTTTTTGACAAACAAAAAGGAAGACGAAAATTTGTTGCTATCAAAGAAAAAATGCACTCTTATCTCTTTTCTCTTCCTAAATGCGGCATCAGAATCGTACTCCACTCACTTCTCCATTCCTCAACAATTGGAGCCCTTCTCTATAAGTTTATCCAAATAAAAAAGCATAACCCTTTTCACTTTAACTAAAAAGACTGTCTTTTATGTCATCACAATGATTTTTTCATGCAATATCCTAGTCCCTGTGCTCTCAGGTTGTATCGTACTGAAACGAAAGTAATTCTTCTAAAGGGTACCTTTTTCATAGATTTTATACTTAAACAATCATATCCCATTTTACTAAGATTATATAAAGAAAATACCAAATGTTTAAATTTAAATATTGTGTTATTAATTTTAGCATGTTGTACAGCCAACCAAAACTCCATTTATGTTCTAATATGGCAATCAAATTGATGTGATTCCTTCTTGCTATTTATCTTTCTCATATTTGATAGCTTGACATTTGCTAATGTCGAATATTTTGATCATCACAATTTCTCGTGCGTAAGTGTTTTCCTCAAACTCGCAACCATCTGCATCACCTTGACATCTTTATGACTAATCAGTATTTGCAGCTTTTTAACAATATTATTGATTTTGATCCCCCTAAACACGCCTTCACCAAATTCAACTTAGTTGGATTTGGCCGTTACCGTTAACTTTGTGGACATGGTTGACTCCGTTAGCAGTGCTGGAATTTTTCCTGAATTTACCAAAAGACCCTTCCATTTCTTCTAGGGTTTTCCCTTGTGTTTCCGGGAGCATGGTGAAGAAGAAGATCCATCCAACGGTCGCAATTCCCCCAAACAGAAAGAAGGCCCCACCTATTGTAATGGCCTTCTCCAAGGACAAAAAGGTCATTGAGATCACCCCACTTGTCACCCTATTCACCACCACTCCCGCAGCCGCACCCTGAGCGCGTAGCTTCAACGGAAATATCTCCGAGCTATAAACCCATGTGATGGGACCCGCTCCGATAGAAAATGTAGCCACGTACGACAACACCATTGCTATACTCAAAACAATGGCCCACATTAACTTGGCCTTCGAATGGTCGATGACCGTGAGGGTCGCCGCCAGAGTGACGAGTGAAAGTACCATCCCACCAACACTACTCAACAATAACGGGCGTCGCCCGACGCGATCCAACATAAACGTCGCCACCAGGATGAAGATGGTCTTCACGAATCCGACGGCTATGGTGGCGAGAAGCAGATCAGTGTCGGAAGTGATGCCGGCTTTTTTGAAGATCGTTGGGCTGTACAAAACGACGGCGTCTATGCCGGAGGCTTGTTGGAAGAAGTGAATTCCCAGGGCGGCGATCACGATGTGACGGACGGCTGGCGTTGGGTGGAGGAACAGTTCTTTCCAAACTCCTTCGCCTAGATTTTGCTTTGCAGTCACATGAATGACGTCGTCGTTGCAGCCTTCCGGGATACCGGCGGCTTCCTTGATGTCGGCTAGCCTGAGCCGAGCCTCTTCCTTGGAGTCTGAGGTCTTGGCGAGAACTCGTCTGGCTTCGCCGAGCCGACCGCGCATAACGAGCCAGCGAGGAGACTCTGGCATGGCCAAGACCCCCACGCCTAGAATTACAGAAGGAATGGCGCCGACTCCCAGCATGAGCCGCCAGCCCAAGCGAAGCGGCAGCTTCGAAAATGCGTAGTTTGAAATGTATCCAAGTAATATTCCTCCATTGATGAAAACCTGAAAGAAAAGCAAAGCCATGAAGATGTTAGATGTGGATTGAAAGTGAATGTCAGAGCATGAATAAGCGTAGCTTCCATTTCTGTTTTTATTAGGTATAAAATCAATTTGTATTTTTTTAAAATATATATATATATATATATATATTAAGTACACTGTGCGCATTTGTTTCACAAAAGAACCCATTTGTTAGAATTTGTCTTTTACGATAATAAAGTTTATTCTTTTATGTGTATAAAATTTTCCACAAAAAGAGTTCTCTTAAGGTGTGATTTGATCTAAAATTAATTGAGATTTAATATAACTTTTAGAAATTAGTTGGTATTATCAGAAAAATAAAATATATGACATGCACGATGACCCTTGAAAATTTGGCAAGCCGAGTCTCTCTTTGAAGTCAAACAAATTATTTGTGCACGAGCATTTACATGCCTGATTTTACTGTTTTTACCGGGGGGGGGGGAATCAAGGGGTCGGCTTTTATGAGAGAAGCCCCTCTTCCTCTGCCTCTCCTTTGAACAAAGAAAAATTTAAACGATTTAAATTTAATATTTTTATTTTTATTTTTATTTTTAAATTAAAAAATTATAAAAATTTTAATAAATATGTTAATCAATCTGAAAGTTTATATTTAATATAAATATTTTAAATTTAATATAAAAAATTTAAATTGACTTTGTAAATATATTCTGAATGGTGTAAATATATTCTAAACTGAACAGTAAATTTATTAAAATAATTTAATATTAGTTTTAAATCATTTATATTAAATTTGAATTGTTAAATTGATAAATATATTTATTAAAATAATTTAAAATTTTTTATATTTTTTAAGTTAAAAAATATAAAAATTATAAAAAAATTTTAATAAATATACTAATCAATCTGAAAGTTTATATTTAATATAGATATTTTAAATCTAATATAAAAAATTTAAATTAATTTTTTAAATATATTCTGAATAGTATAAATATATTCTGAATAGAATAATAAATTTATTAAAATAATTTAATATTAATTTTAAATTATCTATATTAAATTTACATTGTTAAATTGATAAATATAACTATTAAAATAATTTACAATTTTATATATTTTTTAAATTAAAAATAAAAATAAAAATAAAATTATTAAATTTCAACTTTTTAGATTAAATTTAAACGGTCTAATTTTTTTTTTCCGCTTTAAAGGAGAGGCAAAAGAGATTTCTCTCAAAAGAGAGGAGCTGACTCAAAAATCAATGCATATAATGTAAGAAAATCTCTTAAAAAGTAAGAAATTTTTAAACGTAACAGGTCTACTAAAAGACAATTCACATGGAGGAGCAGAAATTTGACGATGGGTCAGATTTACGGAGAATTGAAAGAAAGAAAGAAAGAAAGAATTGGGGATTATGAGAAGGAGACCTCAGGGAAGGAAGTGAGGAAGCCACGAGAGGAAGCCGGCGAGACCTCGGCGGTATAGACGGGGGCGATCATGAGGGCGTAACCGATACCAATGCCGGCGACGAATCGACCGCACATGAGGAAAGCGTAGTTGGTGGAGAATCCCATGAGAATGGCCCCGGCGAAGAAGATCCCTCCGGCCAGCACAATGGTATATCTCCGGCCAATCCAGTCGGAGGTTCTTCCGGCGAGGCAAGACCCTATGAGAGAGTAGAGATTGATTATCCCCATCAAGATCTCGATTTGGACGTCCGACACCTTGAGGTCTCTCTTTATATACATGGCCGCTCCACTCATCACCCCTATATCTGCAACCACACGTCCACACACATAACACACAAACATGTTCACAAATCACAACCATATGAACCACCAACACTGAAAAACACGCTCATACAACAACATAAATGCCCGTGATTCTTATGTCAAATAAATATATGTGCATGAAATATGGAAGAGAAAAGAGAAAAGGGACTGACCATAACCGAGTAGGATGGAAGTCATGGAGGCGAGGATGGCACAAGCAGAAGCATACTTGTTCCTTTTGGGTTTCTTTTGAGGTTCAAAATCCGCAAGTTTCTTCTCTGCCGTTGCTTCTGCAGCCATCTTTGGGGGGGGGGGGGGGTTGAGAGAGAGAGAGAGAGGATTAATGGAATGCGCGAGTGAGCATAAGTGGTAGCTGCTTTCTGATGTGAGGAAGAGTGAGAGGCCCAGAAGAGTGCTTAAATAAGCGAAGCTACAAGGCTTTTCTCACCTTTAGCTTTACAGTCCGAGCTATCCCATGAACGTCATTTTCAGAGCCTTCCCTATTGACTCCATTACATCCACTCTTCTGCTCTATTTTTTATTTTGAATTTTTTGGCTGAATAATGTTTTTTTTTTTTGGGGTAAATGACAATTTTACTCTTAAATTTTTCTTGTATAATTTCCCCTCTTCACATTTAAAACCATCACAATATGCCCCATTCCATTATAATAGCAAGAACGAACATCGTCAAATCATATAAAAATTAATACACATAAAAACATTTAAGGACAAAATTGTCCTTTCACTACTTAAATATTACACATTTGATTAGCTTATTTAATATACACGAATCTACAGAGGATAGAATGCTTGATTTGTGCTAATTAATCTAAATGAAGGGATCTCTGAATCTCTCTGTTGAGGAGAGCTGGAGAGAAGTGTGGGTGCAAATTGGCCCTCGTGGTGGGTCCCATCCGCATAATGACAAATTAGTGCCGCAACTCTGGAGGATCCGGGAAAGTCATTTGCTAATTTCCTTCCATACGGTGAGGTGTAAAATATCTTATCCTTATCTTAATCCTAATTTTTCATTTTCATTTTATTTTAATATAAATTTTATGACTGAGATTTTTATATTTCTATTCTTAAAAATAATTAGTTGGATCTTCATAAATCAGCTATAATATCAACGTTTAAAAAATTCACTTTTGAGTTTTGTTATTAGAAAATCTTAATTTAATACTGTACTGCTCGTGATATATATATATATATATATATTTTGATCCAAGAAAAATATTTTTTTTTATTTTCTCCCCAGCATCTTAGGAGTATCATTTATTTCTTTGGTTTGATCTTTGATGTTTGTCAACTCCCACATTTCTTTATTTACATTGAACTTTTTAATCTTACAATTGTTATTAAAATCTAAATTTAATTTAATTCCATCACTCTGTTTTTATGTTTTTTTTTCCAAATTACAAATGATTACCTTCGTTCTTACAGAGATGCTTTCTTCTCTATGCACAGGTGGTCAATGGATAAGATATATCACACGTCCTTCCCTTTATATGGAGAACAATTTAAGAATGAATGAAGTGGGTGAATCTCGGATAAATAAAAATCAAAATTTAGTTATACACATTTAAATTTAATATTCATTCAATGCGACAATCAACAATTTGTAATTATCCTTACATTTACTATGGTCGTCGGCATTAAATATGAAAATATTTTTTAAATAAATATTTAAACCTCGATTCCTCGTATTATATTCCACAGTTTCACCAGACTCATGTAGTGCACAAACCCACCGTTCACTATTTATTTGCTTATTAATCATTTATTTTATCACCCAGAAACCAACTGTTTAGGATACGTGTGTGTGTTTCAGTAAAAAAAAAAAAAAGGATACGTGTGTGTGTGTGTGTGTGTGTGTGTGTGTGTGTGAAAACATGCTACATGCATCAGCGCTACAGTTTTTACGTACATTTTTCAGTAAGAGTAAGATATTATAATGACAATTATGTTTTATTTCACGAGATCTAGCCGGCAATGAAATCGAGACATTACATTCAATAAAAAAGAAAAAAAGACTCGCATATAAATTTGGGCTAAGGTAAAAAATATTAAATATTATTCCAAATTAATTGCAAAATGTCATAAGAGATTTTGATTGCCTATATCATTTATGTAAATAAATAAGGCTTGGTTTAGGAGGGTACAATATATTTTTTATATCATTAAGAATCTTGTTTTTTTTTATAAGATGTCAAATTATAAAGAAGATTAAATAACAAAATGCATCTTTTGAAGAGGAAGAGAGATAGATTAAAAGAATTTCACACATAGACGTAGCACCTGTTTGGATTCTAACTGAGTATAATAAATTATAAAAATAATAAATTAAATAATAAATTTTAATTAAAATTAATTATGTTATAACACAATCTGTTTGGAAACTATTTTTTAAAAATTAATTTTAACAGAATTAAAGATATTTAGATAATTTAATCAAAATTAATTTTTAGTTATATAAATTACTATATAATTTAATCTTTAAATATCAAACATCAATTTTTTAAAGATACAAAGTTTAAATTTTATTAAAAAAAAAGAGAGAGTTTAGTTTTTTTTATTAAATTATGTGCTTTCTTTGTAATTTTTTTTGAGTTTTTTTTTGTAATTTTTTCTAATATTTTTTGACAAGCTTCAATTCTCAACTTTAAAAAATAATTTATTTTTGGGCCAAAAATCAATTAACCAAAAAAGTAAGTGTTTGGATAATTTTGTGGAGAACCGACTTTTTGAGTTAAAAATCAATTATATTTGCTGTCCAAACACACACTTTTAATTATAATTGATTATGTTATAACGTAATATGTTTGGGTATTATTTTTTTAAAATTAATTTTAATAAAATTAAAGATATTTAAATAATTTAATCAGAATTAATTTTAACTATATAAATTATTATATAATTTAATTCTTAAATATTAAATATCAATTTTTTAAGGTTATAAAGTTTGAATTTTATTAAAAAATAAGTTAAGAGAAGAGAGTTTAATTTTATTTTTATTTAATGTTGTGGTTTTTTTATAATTTTTTGAGCCTTTCTTTATAATTTTTTTCAATATTTTTGATTAACTTTTTACAAAAAACTGATTAAGAGAGCTTATGAAAAAACGCTCTTAACTTATAATCTATTTTTGACTGTTTAGATAACTTGATTTAAAAAATTAATTTTAAAGTAAAAAATCAATTATTTTTTTTATACAAACACACACATGAAAAAAAGGCACAGTCGTTAGTGGTTACAATGCTGCCGTCACTGAAATGAAAAAAGCGCGTAGGAATAGGATGGATGTATCCAGTTTGTGTGGTCCAAGAAGTAAATATTAATATATTTATTTACTTTCATTCCATCTTCTTGGGTCAACAATGACGGGCTGATCAAAGTGATCAAATGGATGGACCCACCTGAGACTTTTCAAAGTCTCGGGATTGGACTCCTCTAAGCAAGCGCTGCGTCTCTGTCAATTATTGTCCTTATTTATTTTTTGGCCAAAGTTTTTGTCGTCATTTTATTTTCATATTAAAAGCATATATATTTAGTGTTAAAATTATTTATTCTAGTGTAATTTTAATTTTAATTTTAATTTTTAAATATTTTAATGGTTCTTGAGCCTTTACATTGTACGAAGCTCTATTATTCATCACTTATAAACAACTTGACTTACCATAAATTTTACTATATTTTATATCAATATGTTGATAATTATAAGGTGACGCCTTTTATATATTGAATTAGATAATAATTTAAAACTAAATGATGCAGCTTTTTATTTAATTTTTTGATTATTTCTAAACATTCACTTCCTCATCGATTTTCTTTCACATTTTCTAGTCGATTTTGCTTACACCTCATTTAGAATTTTATTAAGTAATGGGTGTGCGTTGGTTGCGACGACAGATGCTCCATATTGATAGAGCCAAGTCAACTATATTACAAAAACAAATATTAAATCATTTTTAAAATTGTGAGAAAATAAATTAAATTAAATATTTTTAAGCCGAAAAACAGAACGTGACCCTTGGTCAAACAATGATTCATTGATTGTAGTCTTTGTTTCGCTATTTAATTTGTCAAATTTAAAATGTGATTATCTTACTGTCTTTTATTAAAAATAAATAAATGAGCTAGATTTCAAAGACACAAAATAAATGAAAACAGAGTTGGTCGTATGAGAATTATTGATTCCATCTAATAAAATAATATCTAATTTCATAATTTTTTTCAAAATATAATTTTTCATTTAAGATTTAAATTTTGGATAAAGATGTATTTTTATTTTTAATATTTTCTTTGAGTAACACCCAATATCTTAACGTATTTTGTATAATATTTTTATCTTTAAAGTAATTAAATTAAAGTTTTTTTTTTTCCCTTATCATGCCATTAACTTTGAACAAGTCTGACCTGAAAATCCACGTGTCATGTCATGTGTCTTCCAAGTTGCCATGTGTCATGCCTTTGTCACCTGTCTCGTTCAAATTCTCTCTGACAAATCATGTCATCTTATGATCTCCTGTCCCCCATCTTCTCCACCGCCACAATCATTTGCACCAGCAATGAAAGCCCTCAGCCAGCAACGATGGTGATGAGTCGATGATTCTCCACTATTGCAAGTCTCTCGTTAATGGATTTACTATCTCTGATCATCCTTCTAACCTGTTCTCCTGTATTTAATGCAAAACCCAAATCGTCATCAGTTGGTGGCTCCAGTAGTCCTCCACTGGGCTTCTCACCTCAGGGAATCCGATTTTAAAGAGAGCGGGTGGATGCTCGAAATCTCTCTGATTATGGTTTCTTTACCATGGGTTTCAATTAACTTGAGAGAATTTTTCTTAGGTTCTTACCTTGGGCTTCAATCTCTCTGACTCTGCCATTTTGGTTTCTTACCTCGTTTTGTGTTTTATTCATGGCAGGTATGGAGATGGAAGAGAGGAATTAGAGGGGTTTCAATGTGTCAGGGTTAAACACCCTCAGCCAAAAGCGTGACTAAACGATGGATCTGGTTCAATTTTTGCTTTTGGTCTTTGATTTCTGATGGTTCGAATTCATATGGGTCTTTGATTTTTCATTTTTGCATTTGGTTTGATTTCTATCTTTGCATCTAGTTCAATTTCTGCATTTGAGCTTACCGTCGGTATTTCTGCCCTTCATATTTCAGTCAAGAGATCAACCAGTTCCACATCAGCATTTTGGATCAGAGTTTAGTCCAGCTAAGCAATTCAAACGGTCAACATCTCGTGATTTAATGTCAGGTAATGAGTGCTCAGAATTAATCATCTTAGGGACGAAAATGCTGTACAAAATAAGTGCTCCTCATAGAAAATATTAGGGAAAAAATGCACTTTTATCTTTAAATTTTTTAAAATGTGAAGCCGGCGAAGTATGAATAAATCGAACCAAAATTCTAATTCTTTTTTAATTCATGATGCATGCACAGCATCTAGCACGCATGTATGCAGTATATATGTCTATTTTATTTCATTAATTGACCATGTATTCTTTTGAGTATTAGTTTCATAAAGTTAAGAGTGAGACGTTGATCGTGAATTTCGATTTTAATTTCCGTACAGAATACGTAATTTTCACTCACAACCATCTGGGTCAGATATAAATATTAAATAAAATAACATGATGGGTTTATACACACAAAATATAAAACTATTAATGGAGTGCCTATTAGCTATGAGAAACCGTGAACTCATAAGATGTAAAGTATACCAATATATTGTTTCTGCTAAAAGTAGATAAAATATATTGAGAGAGACAGACGCGCAACGTGGCCACGCACAGTTCGTGTTTTGTTGGACGATGGACATTGAATAATCTTTTAACGAATAAGACTACAAATAACAAAGCTATCACACGTATTACATCTTGTTTGAGTAATCTTGTGAAGAGGAGTGGCGTGAGACTCCAAAATTATATTAGTCATTGATGATTATCATCTTCGAGGGCTCATAATAATTAAGAAAATCAAAAGCACTGAGAGCTTCGGCACCAAAAATATCAAAGCGTATCCTCTCCGGGTCTAAAACATGCGTCACCTATCTACAAATGTTCATAGTCCAAACTCACTTTGACTCTCGCATGCAGTCACCCTCCACATTTAATGTACTCCAAAATATTGATGTCATGTATGTGCGTGCGAGCATGTACCTCCTGTAAAAAATTTTTGTACTGCCTGATAAAGTATTAATTATATTTTTTAATATTATTTTTATTTAAATTTATTGACTATAAAAAATATAATATAAATTTAAACGTTTTTATTTAAATTGAGATAAAATAAAAAATTTATTTCATTTTTAAAAATTAATGATTTAATTATCTCTTTTTTATTCTAGTAAAATCCTATTATAAAGGCAGGGTAAGGGTTATTTATGACTAATAATTATTTGTTCTGTCAGTTCACATGATCATAGCAAATTCAGATTATAAATTATGAGGTCGTGCTCGTCCTTTTTCAGTTTTTATTCTTGATTGATCTAAAAAAAGAACAATAAAAGGAGAAACGATAAACACTGCGAGAAGTTTGAAAAGTAAATGCACGGATCACTAAAGAAATAAGAACTCATACTCCAATGCACGTAAAGGAATTTGTTTATAATTTTTTTACAATTTGCTAATATTCCAGACAAGAGATATTGCTGAGTAATAGTATGATTCAATTGTACTCAAAACGAATTCAACCAAATTTCTAACCGAATTTTTTTAAACTGATGAGGAATTCAGAGATAGATACCTGTAATTTGATCTTTCAGTAAAGAGAGAAAGGAGTGTATTGCTTAATTTACTTGTCCTCTTAGCAGCATAGAGGAGAAGAACTGTCAGAATGAGACTTGGGATTTGTTTGATTTATGTTTTTAATTAAAAATGGTTCTCTGTTTTTTAAAAAAAATAAAAAAAATTATTCAGATAAATATTTTGGATTTAATTTCTTAAAACCATTCTCTATTTAAAAAAAAAAAGATGGAAACATTTTAAAGTTGTTAGATTTAATTTTTTTAAAATATACTATTCCCATTAAAAAAGCAGAAACTTTTTAAAGACGTTTTCATTTTATTTTTTTATTTTTAAAACATGCTACATTTAATTATTGAAAAATATAGTTAATTTGATTAAAATATATCATAAATCACCATCATTAATCTCCTATAACCATTATCATAAGCTTATTTTTTAATTCTAAAATTATTTTTAAATTAACATAATGAAACATATTTTCATTTCCATTTTTTAAAAAAATTAATTCTGTATTACAAAACAATTTTTAAAAATTAAAAGTTGGAACAGAAATAAAAACTAAACGACTCTTAATTATCACAAAACACTGAAGACTAAAAGACTACACGTTCCGCCTTTACCTAAATGAGCTTGTGCGTAAATCAATCTATCACAAAACACACAAACACATGAAAACCGGGGCGGATATAATTCAGGCTTGATATTCTTGCTAATTAATTAATTAATTCTGATCCACATAGTTACGAAAAAATAATCTAACATATATATATATACATACCAATCCATTATCAAGGAAAACTATGTAAAATATCCGTCACTTGCGTGCAATAGCAAAGGGATTGAATGAATACTCTCAATTTAATTAATTAATTCGAATCATCCAACAACATAATTGGTTATCTTAACTTAATTTAACTTCAGCTAACTAAACTAACAAATCACGCTTAAACCATCCGTATGTACAAAATCGAGCTGTACGTTCAAATCAGGAAGTTGAAATGAATTAATATCTCATTCTCCTAGTTGTTCTCGAATATTGGGCAACTTATATTTCGCAATGTCATGAATTAGAGAAAAAAAAAATAAAGTTAATTAATTAAGTCGTTGACATGCTCAAGTGGGCCTATTTAATTTGCAGAGACAATCACTAATCGATAACTAGTAGTGACCCACAAACACTTCAACATAATGTGCTTTTTAAGGGATCACAATCAAATGGGAGCAAGAAAGCGAGTTCAATACTGACTAAACTACAATTTTTCTAACTGGAATTAGTACGAAGTTATTATATATTTTGCCTTTATCATTATATAGAAGGGACGAATGTGGAGTTTTAAAGAAATAATAGAAAATACAAGGAATAGAGAAAAAATAAATATAAAAGGGGCAGAGAAGATCATAGAAGGTTAGGTCTAATGAAAGAGACTAGTTTTTTATAATATGATAAATTAAAATTAAAATTAAAATTATTATTAAAATAAGTATTCACGTTTAGTGTCTGATTGAAAAAGAGTTAGAAAAGGCAGGAGTGTCTCTTGTGTTGAAGGCAGTGGAGAGAAGAAAAGAGAGAAGGAAAAAATATAAATAAAAAAAAAGAGGGAAGATCTATGAGTTGACTCAAAAAAGATGAAATAATTAAAGAAAAGAAGGAAAATAAATCATCTCAAGATAAGAATATGTGAAGTTTATAGAACTTATCTATTTTGAAAAAGAAGAGAAGATTTTATATTTTATAAAAAAATAATAAATTTAAAAAATTATAGGAATTCATAGATATAAATTTCATAGAATTTGTTCCTGAAACAAAGAAGAGAGGGGAAAAATAGGGACAAATAAAATTTAGAATTTGAAATTATTTCAAGTAGCGCTTGGAATATTGATGAATTTGTATTTGTATTTTAATTTTAAAATCTCACATTTAAAATATATTTGAGAGAACTACCTCTAATTGAGCCCGATAATGCTTGAATTTGAACACAATTAGACAGTAAAAAATCTGTATATTAATTATCTTTTATTTAATTCTTATAAACAATTTTAAATGTAAAGATAATAAAAAGTGGGAGAATGATAAATAGGTTCTAAGAGGACAAATTAATTCAAATTATGTCATAAGTGTCAAATTTTAAGAATTTATAAATTTATTTCTCAATTCTACAGTTTTATTATGATAAATTTGTAACTTATTTTTTAAATTTTAATATGGCCGGAGAATAAATGAATTTTCTTTTTTGTTAAAATTTAAAATGCAAGTTGCAAATTTATCACACCAAAATTATAAATTTAAAAATCGAACTTGCAATTTCCTAAATTTTTACACTTAATGAGAAGAAGAGAAGAACAGCCGTTGCATTCATGCATTCAAAGCTGAATTAAGCTCGCTCTTTTTTTTTTTTTTTGACCGGTAGCTCCTTCTTCTATTTTAAAAATATTCCATAAACTAAATTAACAAAATTCTAAAAATGTTTCTTGACGTGCGGAGAAAATGATAGCCAAGCGCATTATACAAAAAGACAAATAATGGTGACCCATGCAATTAACATATAACACTTATCCCTGGATGTCTCCCGTGACCGTGTATTTCTATGGTCACTAAATTATTATGTTCACATCCTCTAATTCAGATCCGCTATGTGGCCAAGAAGAGAAAATCAGATCAAGTATATGATGAGGTTGTATATTTAAAAAAACATAATTTTAACTCATTGCACTTTATATTTTGCTTTTAGCTCTTGTATCTTTTTTTATTTTAAATCTTTATATTTTTTTTCGTAAAAAATAAAACGTGAGCAAAGTGTAAGAATTTAAAATTATATTTTTTTATATTTGTGGTCTCTTAAACAAGTCGATGTTGAATGGTAATAGATACAAATCAAATGTCCTATATCTTTTGGTGATTTTATCTTAATTATTTTAACTTTAACTAACTAAAATATCAAAGCATGCACGCTCAAACCGTCAATACAGAATAAAGATGCAAGTTCAGAAAATGAAATCCAATTTTTTTTAAAAAAAAAACACTTTGAGCTGGATCTCATGCATTCTCCAACTTAGAATTGTATGTTGTAGAATTGAAGAAAATATATAGGGCAACTTGTTTCTCTCAAATCACATCAAATAAATTATTAAAGTTGCTTTAGCTGGCATGCAAGTGGTTCAATTTGTATGTCCAAAATAATTGTCCCCGCAATCATTAATTAGTACTAATTATTTCATTCCTATTCTTTAGAGAGTGAGACTCTTCGATGCAACATTTTCCAATAAAAAGTAAAAGCAGGCAAGAAAGCCAAGGGAGTATATATGCACCCCACTTTTTAGATTTTACTCGTTCACACTGGATCACACTTTGTCCGATTATGTAGAGCACCATGTGGATCATACACGCCGGCGCCAAGAAGTTTGACTTTAATACCAAAACCTCCCTCACTTTACGAAAATATAATCAAATAAAATTAAGCATATGATACAAATACAGAAAGATAAACTTATTTGTTTGACATTTATTGCTCCTGTACTAATTATTGCGAGTAATTAAAGAATTGACTCTTTCAACTCGGCTCAATTCATCCCGGGTATGAAGCTTATGGTAAAATTAAGATGATTCTCCTTCCAGTTCTAAATGCAAAACTTAGGTAAGGAATTTATTTCAGATATAAATATATACAGGACCTCGAACTTTTTAATTTGTTTTCTGCATTTAATACTATTTTTTAAAAA